AGACTTAACCCCTGGGTCATAACTTTGAAACGGTTGAGATCCCCACCCCAAAACTATATATACAAATGCTGGGCAAAAAGAGACAAATGCAGTCATGATATTTGAATTGATCCTGGGGTCTGGCCACAACCGTAGGGACCTAGTTTCTGAGTCACAGATTGGAAACAGTTGAGATCCCCACCCCATAACCATACATAAAATTGCTGGGCATGAAAAATTGAATACAGATATATATGCTACAAGGATTGGCCTTGGGGTCTGGCATATTCCCATGGATCTCATTTGGAGAATATTCTGCCATGATTGCTTAGATATCCAGGTGAGCGATACAGGCCCTATGGGCCTCTTGTTATGTACAGTCACTGTGTCTTTCCTAAGTTTAATCTAATTCTGATAGCTGGAACCTGTTGATACTTTTTGAGAATGTATTAATAGGGGAGAGGTAAAAAAATAATTTCTGAGACACCAGCACAGTTGAAATTAAGAAATCGAAATGAAATAAAATATCATTTCCTTTGCATATGAGTTATCCTAACATACAAACATTTATAAATCAATATGTGTTTAAGTGTTGTGTTTGTATGATTAGTCCTAGATTTTTTTTATTTGGTATAGGAGATGCTAAATCAACAACTGAAGATGATGATGATGATGAAAACCAAGCTGGTGCATCAGGTACCAAGCCAATACAAAGTAGTAATGGCAGCAGCTCAAGGTCGGTGTTCAAATCCTCCGTCAATTAATTAACAAAAGGTTGTTAGATTGTTTGTTTATTGTTACTTTTATTATCTATGATACAATAACATTCCAAATGGTGTTATTGTGTCCGTTACATGGAGAGTAATTCACTTATTAGTGGTATTTCCACTATTGACTAAAATGGGTCAGGTGAATAGATCGACACCCTACCTAATTTTCACAGTTTGTGCACACACTCTATTGATAGGTGAAGTGGCCTGTAGTGTAGAAATAAAAAAATTAAGAAACAATGAAATTTGCTCACTCTGCCGTCAAAGCTTGACAAAGAGACTGGTTGGTGTTCAAACATTGCAACACATTTATATACGTACTTTGTTTATCAGAAGTGACTTGTATTTTCTTTGATGGCACAATTTGTGTTCAGAGCTACGTTTTTATTTTCTCTTCAAAACATACATTTGATTTATGAATCTTACAGTAGCAAAGTATTGATTTGTTCATCCACAATTTTCGAAGACACTCCCATGTAGCCAAAGGCACTCAAATATTTTGCCAAAGTATACTGTAAAATTGTTGTATCAGTATTGTTAGAACAGTCGCCTATTGTGTCCTGAAAAGAATATAGTTGGGTCAACATCTAAGACTTAATGTTATCAAGTGCAAAAACAAATTTGGTTGCAACATTACAATATTAGAGAAAATATATTGTGCACGGTATGCGTAGAAAAAACAAAGCAATTTGTACAGTGATGTTTGCTCTGTTGACAGTTTCCACTCCAACAGCAGACAAGGTTTGGGGAGTTACCAACAGGCAGAGATATCTCACACCGGACAAGAGCCTAGTGTCCGAGGTCACCGGTTCAAGCTATTCCAGGAGACTCTGTCACAGGACATCTTTCAGGAAGACCAAGGTATGCAGATACATGATTCTGACTCGCTGAGTCCTTATTTTAGGTCTGATTTCACCTAATTATTAAAAGTCCTGTATAGATTGTTGCTTTTCAATTCACTGCTTTAGTGAGAAGAGAAAAATGGTGGCGGGAGGATTGCCCTAGGGGGGTCTCTTAAGCAGTTTCAATTGTATAACATTATTTGATTTGATGTTGCATAGCAAGGACATTTTCTAGTACCAGGTAATAATATTCCCTGCTATTTTGGGCCAGATTTATTGAAGAGAACAAAGCTCTAAAATAAAATGTTCTTATTAATTTGATTTATCTTTAGATGACAATAGAGAATCATCAACCCCATCAGAGTTTATTGGAAGTCTTCAACTGTCTAACCAGTCCATGTTGGTCCCAGAGACAGTTGACGAGGATGAGTGAGTACTTTATGGTTGAGAAATTCATAAAGGATATCATTGTATCATTGCTTTTATTGACCGTTCATATTTATTAAAGTCACTTAAAGCATAAAGGCTGTCCCAGATATGATATATTTAGTAATTTTGTGACTCTTGTCACAAACATCTTTTACCATCATTTTAAACCCCATCATCTGTAATTTCTTGCCCCCCTCCCTACTCCATTTAGTGTGAGTCACCTAGTGATTTCTCATTCTGCCAATGTGAAAGTGATTCAGTACAAAAATGTTAATTAGTGAAATTAAGTTCCGTTATTTACAAGATGTAAGTAATCTGTAGAATCTCTATCAGTTGAAATATTAATTTAATCACTTGCAACATTTGTAAGAAAAATCAAAATATAGAATGACAGCTTTAAGGAAAATAATGAAAATGAAACATAACTTTGTGTTTGTTGGTGTTCCATTTTTTGGCATATTAATATAAATTTCCATTTTCTTAAATAGAAAAATGGTGTCTTTCATAAATTCTGCATAGATGCTTTCTTTTCTTCACTGAAACACTTAACAATCATTTACACAGATTATCATGCAATCATGCATTGAGAGCTACAAAATCTTTCCATTGATGTTTTTTTTTAACAATAGAAATGCAATTCCGCCGTCACCAACCGCATATGGAAATGTTCCAATGATAATTCCATCATCGCCAACAGGTGACAAAACTACAGGTAAGTTAATGTTTGATTACCTCTTATATATAGTAACACCTTCATACAATTAATATATTGAGGCTTGTCATCACCCATTGGAGGAAGCAAAGGGCAATTTCAATATTATACCTTTTGTTCTCTCTGCCATTTTACCCTCTATGTCAGTTCGGTCTCGTTTTATAACACACATAATTCTCTTAACAGCGAAACCTGAATTATACTGATCTTAGCCCAGACTTAATGCTGTCATATATGACAAAAACACTTTGCGAACAAACAGAGGCCATCAAATTACAGTTAATGTAAATGAATATGATATCAGCAATATGAGAAAGTTACAAACTTGCAGAGAGTTATTGTGATAGATGAAAAGAAATAATCAATTGGCATTATTTCAGATTCTGATTTAGAAGACTCTGATGAACTCATTGTGTTCAATCCTGCGGCAGAGAGTACGTTTGCTGATAACCCTCCTGCCCGACTTTCTCAGGTATGGTCTTCCGTAGACTTTAGGCACATCAGTATGTTATTTGTATTCAGTAAAGTTTATTGGTTAACATGGCTGTGTTGTTAGATTATTATAGTTACACAGCTGTTCATGTTCATGTCAGTGAGTTCTGGCAATTTTCATCGCCCAGCAATATGGAGAAAGAGTTTTCCTTTTCAAATTTCAGTCGTTCTGTATGAATGTACAGTTGTCTATACAACATTTTGCTTTGACTTTGCATTCAGCTCTATTACTCAAATATTAGAAGTTAAACAGTTATCAAACTTCATTTTTTGATACATTTTGAATCGTACTACACTATTATGTCAAAGTCACTGTGACATATTTTTGTTTGTTTCACTGTCTTTGGTCAGTCTTTGCTATTAGCTCAATTTCAATCAAAGTAATGTTTTACAAAACTTTTATTCTTATTAAAGTCTGTTTTTATGCATGCTAGTTTCATTGTAAAACTGCAGTGCAAATCCAAAATAACATTTTGTTAATCCATTACTGTTTCACTGAAGTGATTTGAGTTTGGACTGGATATTTAGAATGTTTTGTATCAGATCCATATATCTGTATGTTACGTACAATATTTCCATTCTGTTTCTTTTAGAGTTTGGAGGGAAGTGGTTCAAACAGTAGTGGAAAGTCGGACGAACAGAACGTCACAGTAAAAAGAGTTTCACCAGTAGCTGTTTCATTCAAGGAGGTAGGTTAAACTCTAACAATTACAATTAAGGTAAAGGCTATTCCATTAATTCGTGTATCCCACCCAGTTCGGCCTCAAGGTTTTGTTTTATAGGGGTACCACCAAGAGTATTTGATAACTAATTTGCATAGCAGTAATAGGCTGGAATCTCAACCATGGATAGAAGTGAGTCAAGTCGTGAGGTTGGATAGATATTTTGTACTGGAATAGCCCTACGTAGGGCAATACATTGCTAGAGTAGACGGTATAATTACTAGGTCTTAATTTCACATAAAATTGATGGCTGTACATGTAGATCAGTATATGTTTGCCTTTTTTCTTTCTTTGAAAACATATTAACTTAACAAAGTATTGATTTTATCATCATATAGTTTGATATGATACTGATATCAACATATATATATATAGGCCTAGCGGACGATCTGAAAAAATTTTGTTTTTATTCTATATTTTCCTTCGCAAGGACTTATTTATTTATTATCTACTATATATCTTTATATTTTTTTTTTATTTGAATTGCTGTTGGATCAGTTTCACTGTCTTGAAGTTCATATAAAGACTCCAGAGTGGTCTCCTAGTTGCTTGGTATTTGGAAAATTGTTTACTGTACATTACAGGGGAGTGAGAATGTACCCGACAAGGTTAAGACGCTGGTGACGGACGATGTGGAAACCTGTGGCGAGTCACTACATCTTCATTACAGTGCTACAGAATCTCACTCGAACCAGCAGGTTTGTGTACAGTCTGGGGCACTGTTTTACAACTCAAAACAAGTATTGTGATTCCTTGTTAAATTTCAATAGTACAATGTATTTGAATGCATTGATAAATTTTAAAATGATGGTTTGCACAAATAGTATTTCAATCCATTGACATTTTTTAAAATGATGGTTTGCATTTTTCTATGCGAGACATTAAGCTCTCCTGCATGCTAACAGCACGGCCTACAAGAGTGACTGATATAAGTTCTAATAGCTTGTTTCACAATTGTTGTAATGTAAAGCTTATATAAGTAATGGTACCTTGAAAATGCAAATACACCTGTCACCTAATAAAATTAAGAAATTGCTACCTGTTTACTATTGACTAAGTATCAATTTTGATGTATTTGGAAGGATACTGCATATTTATAAAAAGACTGAAAATATCATTACCTTGTGGATATTGACCTCAAAAGCAGGTATTATGATTACAAGTACTCATGACCAATTAAATCTGAAATTTATTTTGTTTTTAAAAAAAAATCCAAAATTATTCGTCTATTACCAACTTGATAGAGAGAAGAGTCTGTAGAGGTTGTCCAGGTAGAGGAGAAGAAAGAGGACAGTGTCATCATCATAAGTTTTGATGAAGGCAACAACCAAGAAGATGACCAGGTCACACAGAGAAGTTCAGGTGTGTGATTCGTAGTAACCAGAGGTGGAAGCCACTAGTGGTTATTGGTGGTGACGGTCACTGCATTGACCGAAGGCGGTGGGTCACTGTAGTGGGAATTGGCGGTCGTCACTGTAATGACCAAAGGTGTGGTTGAAATGTAGTGACCGTCTGTAGTTGGTGAAAATAATGTTCACAAATTTCCTGTATAATTAATGCAGGTGAAAACAGTGTTTTATAATACTTCATACTAGGAGGTTTCATTGGTAAAAAAGTTGAAAAGCAACCGTTTTAATAGCTTCAATGCCAGTAGTTGAATTTCTTGCTTAGAAAGAAAAGATACATACTGAAGAAAAAACATCACATTAAGGTGAAATTTAGAGAAATTATATTAAAAAAGGAGAATAATAAAATGTGTTTAAATGACGAATAAACCATCCCTGCACTATAATTCATTGATAAACATGAAAAAAGATGTCTATAATGACTGTTTATCAAGAATTTTGGCAGGTTTATCTCAGGATAATTTTAATTTTCCGACATGTTAGGTGCCCAAGGTGCAATATATAGGAGCCTTCGTTGAATACTGTATGTAGAATTTTGCATACAGTTGGAGCAAAAGACATATTGGAAAAAACATCTGAGCTTAAGCCTTTATTCTGTATTAATATTGTTGATTTGTATTGAAGTGGAAGAAGAATTGGAAGGTGTCGGGTCACAGGATTTGGTGCTACATCTTACACCTTCGCAGTACTCCAAAAGTCAAGCCTCACTTAAGGGAGGTAACTCTTCAGAAACGCACCCAGGTCAAAAGTCAATGTGCACACCAAGTCAGTATCCTGAGCTACAAGAAAAAGTTGGTATGTATACAATCGTAATTCCCAAATGTTGAACAATATCTTGACTGCTTTTAAGTATCACAAGGGATGGAAAGATTTACAATGTGCACAATGCTTAAAAACCATCAACTAACAAACAAAGAAAAATATATATTTAGTCTTAAATATTTGCTTTTAGAGTCTTTTCATAAGTTATCATCATGAGCAGCTCAAATTTTATTTTCAAATGACACATTTTCAGATTATGATTTAATTTCAGATAACAAACATATTTCAAAAGATTTTTTGTTATGATCAATATATTAATCAGCTTTAAATCAGCTTTGATGATGAAATGAGACAGTGACTCGAATAAAAGTTCAGTTGGTTTAGTCAAGAATGTGATTTCAGATCAAATTTTGTTACAGATTTGGGAGATAATACTGAGAAAGACAAGGCAAACACGTCAAATTCAGATTCTGGTATGTTGCTTTTACATGTGCTATGGACATTTCAAAATCTATTGTTTTCAAATTTTATTTTGATTCATTTTGGCTTCATTTCAAATGAAGCATACTTGTAGCAGTACAGTTATATGTGAGGGTTTAAAAGAGTTGCTCTTCATTAATTAAATAACTTGATATTTCTGAGGAAATATCTCTGAACTGGGTATGGTAAAGTCCTGGTAAATAATGTATTGGTTGACTTTTGTTTAATCCACACATGCCTTTTTAAAAATGATTTTAATTAAACTTTTGCCTGTTTCACAGCTGGTTTCCATTTGTCGCTGCCTAAGACCGGCACACTGCTTCATCCTGTGGAAATTTCTCCCGATCTCACAAGACAGAAGCAGCTCTCATCCCCGATTGAATCATCACATGACCCCACTTCGCCACCAGGACCCTCCATTCAGGATACAGCTTGTGAAGCAAGGTTAGTTTTCTACTTCCTGCAGATCCAGGTGTTTGTGTTTTGTTACTATGGATACTGTGTGTAAGTAAACAAGTAAACTTTGTATTAAATGTAACCATAGATACTGTGTACTGTAGTCATGGATACTTCTGTGTGATGTAACCGAGATTAAGGTGTGAACTTGCATACTGTGTTTAGAGCTACATGATATTGTGTGTTACAGTCATATTTACTACTGTGTGACATGAACTTGCATACTGCATGCTGTACATACTGTTTGTTGTAATCTTGAATATACTGTGTGTGTATACATGGATAGTGTGGTGTAATTATAGCTAATGTTCTTATAGCCATGAAAAAGGTGTTGTTAACATTTAATTCTATTTCATAACTACAGATACTGTGAATTGTACCCAGTAATTATGTGTTGTAGACCCAGTCCAGTGCGGGCTCCATCACTCACCATAGACATGATAGATACACAGCCGTCCATGTCAGACCCAAGCTTTACATTACAGAGTAAGTATAACGTATACACTAAAAAATACAAATAGTTCCACTTTATAGCTTTAATCTTTCAATGTCTGATGGATTTTGTGTTTAAAATAAAGGATATACAATGATAATTCTGTTTGGTGTTACAATATATACTAATATGAAATATTTTCCGGTCCATGAGAAGATTTAATATTTTTGATTCCACAATAGCCATCGTGTTTCTATTAAAGCATACAAAAAAGCTTTCCTGCTATATAGTAACAGTCAAATTTTAACCTTTTTGATGTCAACATTTGACCTTGTGTACTTTTGACCTTGACCTTATGGATTTACTCTATATAGGACCAGATTTGAGAGAGGTCCCATCAGAACAGACAGAGGATAGTAGATTTGAAGTGTTTCGACAGAAAAAGGGAAATAGCAAATTGACAAGGTCACCTTCAAAACGCCAGATCATCAATGATGAAAGGTCAGTCCAGCAAATCTTTGTACAGTTGCATTTATGTTTCATGGTTCATAAAGACAATATAAAATCCCATGCTTTAAAGTCTTTCACTTACCGACCTTTGTAATAAAAGGCTGTAGATCAGTGTATTTTTGCAAATACTTATTTTTCACGATGGTTCTTCCAGTGACATCTTTGAGGAGATTTGAATTTGTGAAACGAACAATGAAGGCGTTATGGTCATTGTCTATTTGTTTCTGATGAAATTTCATAATATACCGGAATCAATGATTGTCTCCCCTGGTGAAGTGTGTGAAAATAATTATCTCATAAATTATTCACAGAACTACACTATTAAAATTAGAAGCCAAACAGGAAAGAATTCCATTATGAAATGAGATTAATACAAGTTGTTTTTATGTAGATTCCATTGATATTTTCCTACTTTCATCATTATTTATATTTCTTTCTTTCTGCTGTCTGTAAATCAGGAAATGATTATTAGCAGAAAAGGCTAGCCGCACCTAAAATAAAACGGCTTTTATCAGGACGCACAGTATTTACAATTCAATATAACATTGAAATTTTTTAACAGATCCTTCAAATTATTCAGTTGCTTAAAAAATACATCAATATTGTTCCAGTGATGACGAATGCTTGCCTGGGAAGAAGAGAAATAGAGAGGAGGTCCTGTCGCCAAGAGCTGACAGGCAACAGATGCCAAAGCTGAAAAAAACCCGGACACTGTCGAGTGAGGTGACATCAACTGGTTACCAGGCCAGTATAGAGGGTTTAGAGGTCATGGATACGACTACCAACAGTCCCACAGAACACATGGTACTCTCTCATAAACATACAGTGTGTGAACAGTTGGTACTCACTCATAAATGTACATTGTGTAAACATATGGTACTTGCTCATTCATCCATATTCTGTAAACTGAAATGTTATGCTATATAAGGATACATACGATTAACAAAGATATGGTGATACTTACATTCACGTATCCGGTTGAATCGGTTGAACCGGGTGAACCTGTACAGAAAACAACAGGCGCAGATCTGAACCGAGGCTGACCTAAGGAAAATTTGGCATGTGTAGATTGAGGGGTCCAGACGTACCTGACCGAAACTAAAATGCTGACTATTGCTAGTTTGCGTTATTTCTTTCTAAAACAATGTCAAGCCACATGTAGTTTTTAAGATACGTTATGTCATTCAGTGGACGGATAATAGAAGGGCATACCATTTTTGAAACAATTTTTTTATCCTCCGAAACTGTGCATTTTTAGCTCTGCTTATAAAACGGTCCAAGTGCGTTCGTTTATCGTGGAATATTTCTGCACCACCTGTACCGTTTCAACTGGGATACGCGAATGTAACCTATTTCATCCTGTACTACATACTGAATTCAGATCCAATTACTATGTAGTCATACAATTTTAATTTGCAATGTCAAATTGCAGTTTCTTGAAAAAAATCTGGCATTTTTAGCTCACCGGGCCTGAAGGGAGCATCTTTGGCGAAAGGGTTCTTAATTTGTATAAAGAGAGGTTATGGCCCCCCTGGGGGCAGAGAGGCGGGACCAAAAAGGGGGAAAATAGGTAAATCAACAAAAATCTTCCCCTTCTTAACCAATAGTAGGATTTCAACCAAATTTGTTCTAGAGCATCTTTGAACAAAGGAGCCTGAATTTTGTATAAACGGAGGGTGTGGCACGCTTGGGGCAGAGGGGCGGGGCCCAATAGGGGAAATAGAGGAAACTATTTCCCCTTCTGTACTAATGAAGGGATTTAAACCTAATGTGATCTGAAGCATGCTTAGGGTAAACAGATGCAATTTGTAGAAACTGAGGCTTTGGCCCACCCTTTTCAGCAGAAGGGTGTATCTGAGTCCAATTAGGGGAAAGAGAGGGCAAAAAATTAAAAATCTTTCTCCTTTTAAACCAATGAAGGGATTAGGGTATTCAATATTTGTATAAAGTTTTATACAGAGTTTGTGTACTAAGCAGGTTTTTAGTTGAAAATAAAATACCAGGTGAGCTATTAAGGCCCCTGGGCCTCTTGTTTCATTTTCTGATTTGTTTCCTAATTTGGTTTCCAACGCCATTTTAAATAGAATCTTCAAATAAGTATCCCATGTGCACTTAGGTATCAAGAGGCTAAAGCTTTCAATCCATTGTGATAAAGCATTATATTAGCAAAAGGGTTCAAACAAGATAATCTCGGTTAGGTTAAAGGAGAAAAATTCAGATTGTAGGCAGGATAAAGATTTATTTGATGAAAAGGTTGGTAGTTCTGAGAATGTGTCGCTTACTTACTGTTATATTGCAGGAAGTACTAGAAGATCCAGAGGATGTTATGATGCAGGAAACGGAGAGTTACGATGCCGGTCAAGCACTACAGACAATGGACATTGACCAACACATGGTCAGGGATTGGCAACAGGACACCATGCCTGGCCCCTCAGGGGTCACGTTTCAAAGAGGAAAGTTTGGTCTCTCAGGGGTCATAGGTCAAGGTGAAATGTCTGACCCATTAAGAGGCAAAGGTCAATGTCAGGAAGGATTGCCTGACTCCTCAGTAAGTCGAGGAGAACCATCAAATCTGTCAAAGGTCAACATTAAAAGTCATCCACAGATTAAAACAGGAAGTGTTGATAATCAAAACTCTGGAGATAGGCAACCATTCCAGCAAATGTCGGGAAACACTTTCCAGCAAATGTCGGGAAACACTTGCAGACAGTTCACGGAGAGTGAAAGCATTGCACAGAAGACTGGTGAAGTGCTTGTTGCTAGCGAAGATATATCACACTTGGAGTTAGTGAAAGAAACAATTAAGCATGGACACAAACGGGGGAAGTCTAAAGCAAAGAAGAGTTCAAAGGGGATTTTGAAAAATCGGACAGAGCATGACAGAGAAATGACAGGTATCTCAGAGAGACGGAGAGAGTCAAGTTCACATGACCCTTACACTTTCCACGGGTCCCAGTCCCAAGCGATTTCCCCGAAGAAGGCGGACACTGTTCATTTGGCACCAGAGGTAAGCATGAAGGGACATACTGTTTCCATTGTATCTCTGCCAAACAAGAACAAAAAATGTCCATTTTCATCAAACCTTTTTGTCAAAATGTATATTATTGAAGATACAAATTACTGGTCAAAATCGGATATCTTCTTCTTGTATTGATTCATTACAGACATTCCTCAGTTCTGATTGGCTATAGATTGTTAGATAATGAGTCAGTAGGCCTGATAGTCAAGTCCGTAAATCAAAAGTGGTTTGTGTGTGAATACTTTACTGCTTCAAATAATTTGGTCGTTAAATTGTGGAATAGACAATAATGGATTACGCCTTCATGTGTCTAAATAGATATTTACTAGATATCTAAATTAATGATCGGCTCCAAATACAAGTTAACATGATGATAATTTACATCCCCTGAAATTTACATAATTCAACATTATATTTGATTTTTACTGAACTCGGAAGAGAAACAAAACAAAAATCTGGTAAGATGAGAAAAAGAATATGATTTTGAAAATTCCTTGTTGTAACAGACTTGATTGGTTACATTATTTAAAAGAAATTATTATTACCAACATTTTTTGTGTGTTTTTAGTCAAGAGAACTAAAAAAGACAGAAACACATGAACAGCAACCTGTACCAGGAACATCAAGGGTCGAGACCACCCCCACATCAACATGGAAAAAATGGAGCCGAGCCATTCATAAAAAATCTGGGGTCAAAAGAGGAGGTCCTTCTCAGCATGTGTCATTTGATAATTCTGTGAAAAATAAATCAACACCTCCAAAGTTGCGAACCCCGAGGCAGACTCCTAAATCATCTAAAACAAGTGCATCAGTGTCAGCAGGTGAAGGACAAACAGTGACTGGGCAGCTTTACGTTAGATCTCCGGCAATTGATCCATCTACTACTGTTATAACGCCTACCACAATCCAAGCAGCATCTGTAATACCGTCCACGATTGGCCAGTCTACCTCAATGGCTCCTCCGATGACCACACAGAGTGTACCTGCGAGAAGTGCTCCCATTTGTCAGGACTTGGTAGTTGGTCCGTTGTCGATGACGACGTCTGGCCACACGGCTCAACCCCAGCAGCAGGAAACAATGGTCACTAAGACTGTGTACAGAATGTGGTTGTCCGAGTGTAAGGAGATCACACAGACCGTCCGCGGGCCTGATGGACGTGTCCTTCGGTCAACCTTTAAGAAGGTAGGCATGCCACAGATACACAGTCTATGGTCTGTTTCAGAATTCTGTATTTGAAGCTTACAAGATAATTCTCCAGTCATTGAGCTCCGTCATATAAAGTAAAAGGGTAAACAGTGGTCACATTTGTAAGCACCTTGTCCATAACTTGTGATTACCGAATGATTATAATGTGAAAATTTGTATGTTTGTTTGTCATGATTCGACAGTATGTTGTACAATAAAGTAGGTCAGTACTCCAAATGTCAAGGTCATTGGAAGGGCTTCTTCAGGTAAAATCTTCTGATTAGCACATACTTTAAACTTCATATAAGTATGTAGTGATCAGACAAGATGCTGTGTAACGCCCTCTAGACCATAACCTAAATAGTCAGGTCATTTCAGTGGTCAAAGGTCAAATCAGCGTAATGCCTGTCTGGACTGTAGCTTTAATTTGATGAGGTGGGCAGAAGTTGCTGAATGAGGTGTTACACCTCAGATACTCCATCTCAGTTAGATTTGATCATGATAGAAACAAAACAAAAATGAAAACAAAGAATTATTAAGAGTAAGAAAATTAAATCATGTGCCTCTGTTGACTCTTCAGTGTATTAAGTGATGTCGGATGGAAAATTTCATTTTGAAATTCTTTTCAGATGTGCTGTATTTATTTTAATTGTGAATTATAAGTTTGAAATCTCTGAAGTTAATAAAAGTTGGGAAAGATTTGAGTCAGAAAGAGAAATCCTTTCTATTTCAAGAATAATGTTTGAATTTAAAGGTTTTAGCGAATCATCTTATCTGACACTTTAGGAAACTTTTATTGCCCACCTATTGTCATTTAAAATAAACTGTATATTGTTATATCATTACTAGTCTCAGTAAAATAAGCAAAATGACATTCCTGATGAAAACACCTTGTAAAATTTTCTTTTAGCATATTTGTTGCTTGATTTTAAGAGAATTTGTCTATGATGGTTTTTAATACCTGCTAAACCTAGATCAAAGATGTAATTTTGAAACAAACTGAAATTTCATACTTTATTTAGTTTATGGTAGCAGTTATAGGTAGAATGCTGTATATTCTGTCATTGGCGAGTTTGTGTTGTACACAGGAAGAGGATCCTCCGAAGCTGTTGAAGGAAGTGACGACTGAGACCTCAGAACTCCTCTCAGTGTCTGATCTTTCTCCGTCACCGTCGCGTAGCAGCAGCACTATGACCTCCGGTGACCTTGCTGATGTAAGTTCCTCGTTGTCCCGTTCCAGTAGTGGCAGTCGAGGGTCGCGTCAAAACCTTGCCAGTCTGGAGGGGATGGGCATGTCCCAGGCCACGACAGACAAGACTGCTGATATGGACACTTACTTCACTCCGCCCGAGCCAGTCACTGCTCCAGGTTAGTGGAACAGGATGGGAAAACATTAAAGAAGGTGTTTCTATAGTAAAGTTAATCAAACAGAAGTTAACTTTTAAATGAATATGAAGATCCTATTAATGTGTTGACATTGATTTTGTTGTGTCTCTACCCAGTGCTTTCTCTGTTCGTAGTCAGACGAACAAGTACGGCAGAGAAGTCCAACCAATCAAAACAAGATGAAGGGACAAATGTGGCGAGGAGAAGCTCCACCCAGCCCTCTTATTACGAAACTTCTCCTCATGTCGGCGATTTATCCACCATCAACAAAACAGGAAGTGATGTAATGGAATCATCACATTTGACGGAGGAGAAGAGGAATTCGGAGTCACTCTTCACAAGTTCGACTGAAGATTGTGAAAAACTTGCTGCAGAGGAAAAAGAAAGGAAGGATGCAGAAGAGAAAGTGTCAGACAAGGTCAAGGACGTTGAAGATATAAGTGAATCGTCAGATGGAATTCCTTGTGGGCAGACGACAGTCAGGACTACAGTGCAATCCTCAGACGGTGTGGAGGGAAAGGATGGTGTCAAGTTTACCAAGGAGACAGGTGTTTAATCACTCATGAGTTATTGAGAAATTCAAAAGATTGTTTGATGATGAATAAACGAATATATTTTAGAAAAAATTATACCGTTTTTGTAAGCTGGTGTTAGATACATTTCAGAATTAATCTTATTAGAAAGGCACACCTTGAAGACAGTCTTTCAATGGACACCTCACTTTCATAAAAAGTAGATATAAAAAGTAGATAGAATCTGGATAACCCCACCACCTATTTTTGTCTACAGTCCTGATTTTCCTACCACTGAGCTTAATACTTGAATTGTCTCTAATTGGTCTTTAACAATTGGATCTAAAACGATGCTTAAGGTGTATTCAAAATGCAATAAGATTCCATTTAAAACAAACTGTCATATTTTGCATTAAAAAATTACAAAACATTAGGTAATTGTACACATAATGTAGAAGTAGCGATTGAATCTTCGATGTATAGGTAACAGTGAAGTGTGGTTTATAAAACCATATCAAAAACAAATATTCTTATTCTTACTGTTGTAGAAACAGCTAGCACTACCAGTACTAATCCTAAGTCATTGAAGAGAAGGAAGCGGTCAGACACCAGTGGCAGTAGGAGCTCCGAGATCAGGTGACACTTGTTTACTTTTAAAACATGAAGGACTGTAACATTACAGTGATAATTATTGATACATATAATGCTTTGGAATATATTTTAAAATAAAGATTATCGTAGGGCTATTTTCATATATGGATTGATATACATATAATGCAGCGGAATATATTTTAGAATAAAGAATATTGTAGGGTAATTTTCATATATGGCCTCATATAAGGTGGAGGCTCAAACATCAGCCCGAGGGTGTGATAATACCATACAGACATTGAAAAAAACCACCCTTAAGTTCAGCTCTTTGTGCCTTGTAAAAAATCTTAAAACTGCTTCAGGCTTTGTAAAATCTTAAATCTTTGTTAGAAGTCTTGAATCGTCAGTCTGGTTTGTTAGTATGACTGTGGAGTTGTTGTTTCAGCCCACAGATATCTTACCAGGACCCCACCTTAGCCAGACCAGACAAGGACCTACCCTGTACTCCACCCACGAGGGGGAGCTCCATCAAAAGTGAGACTGCTGTCGGTGAGTAAGGACGGTATCTGTACAAATATTGTAAATGTACTTATTTTAGCGCACACAAGTTTCGGCTGATTGTCATATTTTTGACAAATTAGTGAATTGATGAATCAGATTGCCACAATATAGGTGGTAGAAACAGCATACAGAAACTGCCATTAATGCAATGATAATTTAGTGCAATATTTTAAGCATGAAAAGTGCTGAAATAGACCTACCACTAAAAAATGTCCACTCATTTTAATTTTAAAGATTTTTACAAAGTGAACTCTTTCTAAACAAAGCTGTGCTGAAACTTTTCAGATTATCATAGGAAATTTTACTGTTGGATCTAGCTGGTTTACAACACATTCCAGATTATAGGGGGTCACTTTAAACAGGTTCCCTTTAGTCTGAATTAATAAGGTACCTCATTGTAAATTGTCAAATTGATTTATGTCAATCTGGAATTAAATACACAATAACCCCAGGGAAGTGTGGATTTATTGTCCTGTACATACAATTTGTGACAGATGTTGATGTTTGTTTTGGTGAAGAGTCAGATGTGCTTTATCAAATCTGATGTTTTTGAGAGGATTTCTTGCCAAAGAACACAATCAGTGCTCAGTTATTATAATTATGAGATCGGGTTAACCGTTACTGTTGATTACTTTGTTGACTGTAAATTTCTTCATTTTGAGGTAATATATTACTTTATCAATTATTGTGTTTTAAATGACTTTTTCACAAAACTGATATTTTAAATGTTTATTTCATCGTTTGGTTTGTAAGTACCGATTAGGAGTGGTTATTCCGATAAACAACTAATCGAGTTGGTGTGGCCTAAGTGTAAATGTATTTGGTACAATATGTAGCTGATGTGTTTTGATCTTTAATTATCAAAGAAATTCACTGGCCAATGTTGCTTTCTCCCAGGTGCGAGAGTTTTGGCCAGATGGAAAGACGGGTTCTACTACCCCGGCTCTATAGCCCAGATCCTCAAATCCAAGTCAGTATAATATATGTATTACAATTTAAGTCTCAGTGTCATAATCATCAACAAACTTGACAATGAATGTTTCATCGTATGTAAAACACGTTTCTGTGATGTAAAAAAGTGAAACGGTAATTCTACTAAAGATACACGACTTTAAATGACCTTAGCTGTTAATAGGACGTTAAACAAAATTAAACCAAACCCAACCTACAAAAGATAATGTATGTTTTCACATAGCATTGAAATATTAATTCACTCAATTTAGTGGCTTTATTCTTATTTTTAAAAAATTACAATTTTGAAGATAATGTTTTTATCAGAAACATTTAAAAAAAAATTGCTCATCTTGTGAATTTAGCATCCTATAAATACCATATGATTTCAGTATCAGACAGAACTTAAAACAAGTTTCTAAGCAGTACGTAGGTCCTTGATTTCTTTTCGTCTTTATGTTGAAAATTATAACTGTGGTAAATATTAAAAAATATACCTGGCATTCTATATTAAGATAAAACGGCTTTTATCCAAATAATTTAGACTGTGTTGAAAAAAGGCCGGACGTTATTTAAAAGCCCCTAAAGTATCTTTTGTCTGTTGTCAGGTACCAGGTGCGATTTGATGACGGAGATGTAAGGTTTGTTAAAGTGAGTGACCTCCTGCTGATTGAGCGCCTACCTGTTGGTCAGTCCGTCTTCGTTCAGAGTAAGAGTGGATTTTTTGAGCCCGGTATCATCACTGACCACAAGTCTCCGACTAAAACCAGTGGTCAACCGTGTCTCTATGTTGTGGAACAGGACAACGGAAAGAATGCCCAGTGAGTTAAAATCTACACAAATATTGATAGAGAACAAATTTTGTGTGAATTTTTGGTCATTTAAGAAAAGTTTCTTGATTACCTGTGTTCAGTTCCTGAGAGAAATTTACTGTGAGGTTTTTAGGTATCTTCCACAGTGATGTCTACAGATTTCAGTGATGAAAATGCATGTAAAAATATAAAGATAAAAAAAAATTGCTAAATTTTGTATCAAGTGATTTCCTGTTTAAAGTGACTACAAGTGTTTTTAAAGACATTTTTCATAATTTTCTGTTAATTTGTACTTCATATTGACACCATTTATGTACAAAAAATTGGCCCAGATCATGCAAAAATGACAAGTGTCAAAACATTTCAGATTTCTTTATTGTATTTCCAACTTTGTCAGAATTTGTTTTACAGAAATGACTGTTTGTAATTTCTTGATGTATTAACCATTTCTCTCTGTCCATTTTTGTTACCACATCAGAAAGATATCCTTACAATAATAACGATGTTTGTTGAGGAGCAGTTTTCTGATTATGACAGTATTTTGTTGTCTGTAAGTAGATATGTTATAGATCTGACATTTGTTGTGATTGGTGGCAGGTTCCGGTGTAGTCAGGTTATCCTGAGTGAGGACCAAGCCCAATGTCTTGTCATTGACATTGGGGCCAACATCCACACCTCGCCCTCAGGTCCTCCTCCCACAACGCCGAAGCCAGCTGACGTCAGTCTAGGTAATTTTGATATAGATGTCGAAAATCCTTATGTATCTATGGGCCTATCCCCAGCCCAAACAGCTCCTTAAACAGTTGGCGTCTGCCTAGAAAAATTATCTAATATCTCCACTTAAACTATACATGATTTCAACTATCTACATTGAAAAAACAAATATTGGATTACCAAGTAGTGACTGTATCTTGTAACTTAAAGCTGACAGTGCAAGTTAAAAAGCTTTCAATTGAGATTTTTTTTTTTTAATAAAAAAAATAAGGTTTTGAGATATTCCTCAGTGACAATTTCTTCCGTCTGTCGTATCTAAGGAAGCGGTGATATTTTAGAATGTACTTGCTTGGAAGCAAGTATGGATCTTGATGCATTACCCGTCAAACAGGTTATCATTTGATAGTCGAAAGAGATGGGGAAGATCTCAAAACCAGAAAAAAAAATTGAAACTTTTTTTTTAATCTCAATTAAAAGCTTTTGAACTTGCACTGTCAGCTTTAATTAAGCTGCAACCCATATCTTTATTTATCAGAAAGGGTTTTAGTTTTAGAACTACATATACTTCATTTGACCTTGCTATCGCCTTGCTGTTCATTCTTATGTTGTTGTTTTTTAAAGAATGTTGAAGGTTGTCCAGTAGAAAAAAAATGAAAAATAGCTTCTAACCATTATTTACATTCTCCACTAGATAAAAATGATAGATTGTAAGATTGGGATGTTTAGAAGGTAAGATTTTACAATCAGTAATATCCATTGTTTATATTCACCCTACCAGATAACCTGATGGATTCTAAGAGAAGAACATCTAGTAGATATGAACAACATACCATTGCAAAGGAGAGCGTTCCCTCATCAACCTCGAAATCCAAAATGGCTGCTCCAACTGCATCTGCATCCCATGCGTCCTCTGTAAAACGGAAACGTGGTGGCATGGTTACCTCCAATCCGGTGGCCACTAGTACGCCGACCCCTGCTAAAGTGTCCACGAGCAGGCTAAAAACTGCAGGTAATGATAATTCTTTATACAGATTTAATACAAAACAATTTTTTTGAAGCTAAGAAATTGATTTAATTTACATTTAACTTGGGTGGAGTGATTTTGAAGGGATTGTCAAAATAAACAGGTCAAATAGCTGAACTGGTATGTCATATTTTTCTCAAGCACAAGTGTATTATTGCTCCATTCTTTTGTGATGGAAAAATGATTTTTGTGTATAGAAACCTTAAAAGTTAATTGTAATATTTCAAATTTGATAAATATTTTTAAGTTGCTAATTTCAGGTCATTTCAATGATAGTAAACATTTGTAAACATTTCTAAAATTGATTGATTTGTTTTTTCCAAAATAAAAGTGTATCATAGAAGTTGATTTAACTTTATTTCTGGTCGTTGATTTGTTAGTTGTAGGTTTGGATGCCAGTCCTGTTGGTGCTGCAGTTAGTTCCCCAGTGACACCTAGACGATCCCCCCGCAAAGCCAGGATAGGTAATTATATAAGTCGTGGCACGATCAGAGATATAGACAAAGGTCATCAGTCAGGAAGGTCATGAATTGTAAATACATGTGACATAAATCATAGGCCAATAATATAGCTCAATAAGAAGAGCATCTCTCTAGAGTTTGGATGGTCCTATGTTCGAGTCCTGACCAGCTGGCCATTGCATTTCTCATTCTCCTATTACAAAATTGGCGAGCTTGCCAACCCTTGTTTCAAGCACTGGGTAAATGCTTGCAAGGGGTTGTAAATAATTGTATCGTTTTGGGCAAAGACTTGGAACTGGACTTGATCAATCTTTTGTCACAAGGTAGCTCATTTGGTAGAGCATCTGACTGGAGTTTGGAGGGTCCAAGGTTTGAGTTCCGGTCTAGCCGTGCATTTTTCCACTCCTGTTACTTACCACAATATTTGCACATACCTTCTTTGTGTTTCACAGGAAGGTGACTAGCTTATATATATATAGCTTATATACATCAAATGTTTACCATGCAGGCATGTCTCCTTAGAAAAAGTGGAACTCTGGATTAGTTTTGGTTTTATATTAAGTGTCATACCAGCATATTCGTTTTGTGATGTGGTAGATAATTTGGGCTCCGCATCAGAGATGTGGATGCTCTATAGCAATCATGGTGTCTGTCTTGTCTGTCTGTCCATCCACACTTTCGTTTACAGGGATTATTTTCTAAACCGAACGACATATCTTTCTTATTTTTGATATGTGGATACACTGTGAAATGTATTTTGCAATAGGGGTAAGATTTTTTTCTTATGACAAGGTCACTGTTACTAATAATATATACAGTGTGGTATGGTCCTAATCACCTCCTCCAAAACTCTTCTGAAATGTGACATAATCATACACTGTGATATTCACACATCATAAAACTGAACAAGGTAAACACAGTACAAATACTCTCATTCCTGTTCAGAGTCCTTCTTGTGTCCTCTGTCAAGGAATGGCCATTAAAGTTCTTATGAAATAATAGCCACAGGGGACAATGGGTTTGACTTCGTCCTTCCATGTGTCACTTTGTCCACTATATAGAGTTACAGCCCTTTTATTCATTTTTGATACCCAAGTTTGTACAGGACAAATGATTGCTAGTGATAATTTGTCTTGCTTTTGGTAATTTTTTTGTATATCTTTGAACTGTGGCCTTGTGTCTGTGGTTTTCAGGTTTGTTTCACACGAACAGGGATGTCCGGCCACGACGGAAGACAACATTGTTCAGGGGGATGGTGTTCTTGTTGACCCACGTGGACAAGATGGCGGCACAAAAGGAGGAGGAAAAGATGATATTAGAGGATTCCTCACTCGACGTCTCAACTGATGACAGTAGCCCACACGGTATGGTCAAGGTCACATGGTAACTTAGAACTTCAAAAGTGTGGCCCTCGGCCTTGAACCAGTAAATCAAATTTCCAAATCAAAACAAGAATAATTTGGCTTTAATAAAGATCACGTTTCTGCAGTTGATGGGAAACGTTGAAACTCTTACAGACATCTGTAAACATTCACTTAAGTTGGACCTGGTAATATTAATGAATAAATAGTTTCAGTTTTGAGAGAATATCGGGTATCAAATTGGGACATACAGCAAAAATTTCAGATATAAATTCACATGAACACTTACCAGCATGTTGAAGCCAAATTTGAAATGTTTTGAAATGTTATTGTAATATTAAAAAAACATCTTATGTGTTCTGAAAATACTTACGTTATGACTTCTTACAGATGAACCTGCCATTCCGTTTGACAAGAATGAGCTGAAGATCCTGATAGAAGACGGGGGAGGGATAGTACTGGATAAGTACAGTGAACCTGAGGTACATGTCTAACCACAAATTAAAGGCTCTTTTACGAATCGGAAAACATAAGGTGGAAAAGACATAAAATTTGTAGTGTAATGGTGATCAGTTTAGAATTTCACTGGTGTTTCACTTGTTGAACTGTTGCTTCACTACAAATGGCACCCAAACAATTGTATATGAAGCGATCTGAAAATCGATGAAACCTATGTTCAGTGATTTGCCAACTTGTGGTACATGTTCTTTTTTATTTCTAACACATGAAAGCAGGCAAGAAACAGTCAACATAAATGTATATTGTATGATTAAATGTCCTCACATTTAAAATTAAAAAAAATCATGGACACATTAAGATATTTCAAAGTATTAATTGTTTTGAGTTTGTGCATATAAAGGGTGTGTTTAAAAGGTGCTTGGTAACAAAAAAGGGTGAGTTCATAGTGAGGGTATTAAGAATATGAACTACTGTCAAAGGTTTTAAGTTCATAAGTGTGGAATTAAACTATGGAAACAGTTTGGGGCACTGAAATATCACATTTCTTTGTTGATAGTCAAGTGATGTAGATTAGCACAATTTGATTGGTGATATAGGGTTGCTGATTTAATTGTCTTTCATTTTTCCCATAGGATATGGACCTAAACCTTCAGTTCTCAAAAATCGTTTAACTTAGAGCAAACAGGAAATTTGGATTAAATTTTATTCCATGCACAACATATCATGTGACTGTGTTTGAATTTTGTTTAACAGGTGTCATCTGCTCGTCAGTGTATATTGCTGTCGGATACCTACCAGAGGACAGTCAAGTATTTCCAGTTTTTGGCGGCAGGACGTCTCTGTCTGTCCCATGTGTGGGTCTATGATTGTTGTTCTGAGGTAATTCTCATTTCCAATTTTATAGTTGGATGAAGTCATAAAGCTGCGTTCAAATTTTGTTGAAACTTGATCTGGCATCAAATTCCTTTTTTTTCAATATTTGAAGGTTTAAGTTATGTGATTTATGTGGTTTGATATGCAAACGCTGTCTGATCACCTACTAACCTTTCTTTCTAGAGCAATGTTGCTGTGACCCACTTTCAAGGTCACTGGGGTCAGATGTCTTTAAATCTTCAAACAACTTCTTCTCAATAACCAATTGGCCCAGGGTACTGAAATTGGGCCTGTATCATGCGGGGATGAAGGACTACCAAGTTTGTTCAAATGAATGACCTTGATCCACTTTCAACCTAATGTCTTTGTACGACATTCAAGGTCACAGGCGTCATATGTTAAACATTTTAATTGGTTCTTATGAATCAAACACTGATATTCGGCCTGTAGCTGTATTTTAGTCCACTTTTAAGATAGCAAGTGTAAGATTAATACCAGGTGAGCGATGCAGGCCCATTGGGCTTCTTGTTAATTTACTGCGTTTTATATATGCTTCGTCCTTTAAATGACATTGGCAGAACAGCCCTTGTTAACTAAAATTGGCGCCAATAATTAACTGTAGTCATTTGAGCCTTTGACGCAGGGGCATTCTCCATGTTATCTGAAGCAAAGCGACAAAACTCTTTGAACAAGGTTAATCTATGACGTCATAAGTAAACCACGTGTTACGTCACGAGAGTTTCATACTCGAATGAAATGCATTTCTGCTGGTAATGTTCATATAGTGGGTTGCAGCGCAAATGTAAATATAGTTTATTAGATATGGCAAGATTAAAACGGATGAAATGTGCAAGTTTAGACAGGGAATATTCCAGGCAGGTAAATGAAAACAGTCCAAAGTCTGACATGTAGTTCTTTCATATTGACAGGACAAACTGATGGATTACAAGGCCTACTTGCTACAGTCAGGCATCAGTCTGGAGAAAAGACGACTGATTGAATGGTTAGTGAAGTTATACACGGTATTTCTGAAAACCTTTTTTATGGTGTACTGTGTTTTTATCCCATCACAACACAGTGGTAAGACAGTAAAGACACGTCATTGGTGTCAATACATCTGTAAGTCCATGTGTTGGTAGCAATATCTTGAAAATGATTTTACAAATTGCCTTATAACTTGTTACCATTTCATTTCTTTATTTTAACAGGAGTAAGATCTTGCTCTTTTGTCGATTTTCTCCATGCAACTCCTACAAAGACTTTTGACATATAACTTTTTGTTCTGATAAAATGCTTTAATACACAGATGATTGGCTGGCCGTTCCCTTTTGATTCTTTATTGAGACGGTCTTGAGGATAATGTAATGTAAAAGCAGTACATGATAAAAATGTTTGCCCGACCAATTCAACGGGGCATGAACTTGGCCATCACAAACTTCAGGAGTTATATGATAAACGATATTTCATGAAACATGTTCAAAGTACCAAGTATTGAAATACCTCGTTCCTCTGTAGTCTTCAAAGGGTAGGTATCAGTCTGGTGATTGGTCGGGTCTTCTCTTACATTGAAACATGCTTTGGAACATATTCAAAGTACAAAGTATTGAAATATGTCCCAAAAACCAGTGAAAGTTATTAAACAATGTCAGTGTAAGTAAGTAATTGAGATCTTATTTTCCTGTTGTTGATTTTACATCATTTTAATTGTTGTTTTGCTTACATTGTCAAGGTGGAAAAATGAAATCGGTTATATTAAGAGGTTTTAATGAATTCCCCTTCAATAGATATTGAACTGTTACAACTTTGAAGGTACCTTAACTCATTCACCCTTGAAATTTTACATTGAACTATTCAAACCTTAGAATTGGGAGAGTTTGAATGTGTCTTCTAAATGGTACTGACCAACTTCAACAATTTGAAGATAAAAAAGTGTCTTCAGTGGTGAATGAGTTAAAACCATGTTTAAGTTCTTGTTGTCATGTTTACGTCTGATGTTAGAATTGATTGGTTTTTTTTTTAGAGAAAAGCTTTATTGGTTTTCTTGCATGATAATGGTGAAGAGTTTCATATCATTCTTTACTTGTGTGACCAGGAAACCAACCTGTAACCTGCTAGTCAACATGAGGATCATGGTGGAATCAACGACAGACAGGTTCAGGGAAGAATGGACAAACATTATCCAAATATCTGAAGGAATAGTGGAAACGAAGATAAAGACTCGTGATCACCAAGGTATCCCTGATAGACACTTACAAATACATTGTGTTCCTGCTTCATACAAAACCATGATTTTTTGTGTGTACATACAGGTACTTATTTATACATGCTACGAGTATACGTATCCTTGTTTCTCAAGGCGTTACGCTCACCTATGCTCTCTGCACCCCTTGAATATGTCATAGCAAAATTTCTGACACGTGACTAGCTGTTTGATCGGTCTCCGGTTGAAAAAACCTAACCAATTGCTAGACTGATACCTGTCCTTTGAAGATTACTGAAGAACGACACCTGACATCAAATCCAATCAATTTTACTGTTACGCTTATGCCGGATTCATTTGATGTATATCAAAGGATCAAACCACTTGTAGTTTTCTTGTCTCATCCATAATGTATCTATCGCACACCGAGTAGTTTTCTTGTCTCATCCATAAGGTATTGCACACCGAGTAGTTTTCTTGTCTCATCCATAAGGTATCACACACCGAGTAATTTTCTTGTCTCATCCATAAGGTATCACACACAAGTAGTTTTCTTGTCTCATCCATAAGGTATCGCACACCGAGTAGTTTTCTTGTCTCATTCATAAGGTATCGCACACCGAATAGTTTTCTTGTCTCATCCATAAGGTATCGCACACCGAGTAGTTTTCTTGTCTTATCCATAAGGTATCACACACTGAGTAATTTTCTTGTCTCATCCATAAGGTATCGCACACCGAGTAGTTTTCTTTCTCATCCATAAGGTATCGCACACCAAGTAGTTTTCTTGTCTCATCTATAAGGTATCGCACACCGAGTAGTTTTCTTGTCTCATTCATAAGGTATCGCACACCGAGTAGTTTTCTTGTCTCATCCATAAGGTATCGCACACTGAGCCTTCGTTTTTGTCATGACATATTACAGGGGTGCAGAGAGAAAGAGGGTAAGTGAGTTTAACCTCTGGAGAATCAAGGGTAGTATACACACCATGACTTTTTTTCGTGTACATACCAGTACTTGTTTGAACTTTTTGAAGGTTAAGGTCACACAAAGTTAAAGACTGAAGTGGATTATCAAATTTCAGTTAATTCCGGGTGTTACTTCATTACCATATATTAGTTCTACCATTTTATAAGGTCACCTGAGCTTTGCTAAAGTGACCTATTCCAATCACTTTCCGTCCGTCGTCCGTCCGTCGTCGTCCGTCGTGCGTAAATTTTTTAATATTATCAACTTTTTCTCAAGAACCAGTGGATGGAATTTTTTCAAACTAAGTCAGAATCATCCTTGGTAGATGAGGCTACCAAATTGTAAAATTGGGACTCCTACCCCAACCCTAGGAGCAATGGCGGGGCCCAAAAGGGAAAATTAGCCAATATTTCAAAAATCTTCTTCTCCAGACTCAGAGGTATTACAGTCATTTTCTCTGCATGGATGGAAAGATCATCAGGGGCTTTATTTAAATTGTAAATTTCAGGACCCCCGAGCTATCCGTTCTCCCTTGGGGAGGGGGTAAAGTTTACTATAGTTTATATAGGGAAACAACACTTTTGGGTATATTTTGACAATTTTCTGTTCGAAATTATTTTTACTTGGTCAGAATCATCTTTGGTGGATGACGGTATCACATTGTAAACTTGGAATTCCTGCCCCATCCCAAGGGATTAGAGCGGGGCCCCAAAGGGAACATTTACAAATTCTTCAAATTCTTATCCTTTGATGACATGACAAGTATTGTATTTCACTTAGTTTACATGCTGATTTCCACATCACATCTAAACAATAAAATAAAGCTACCAGTACCTATGATATAACTCAGGTGACTGCTAAGGCCCTTGGGCCTCTTGTCTTTCTTAACATTAAGTTAATGTTAGATTGATTCTCTTGGCTTGTTTAAGAAATAGTCCCACATTATGACCTTGTCATATTTTGTTTCAGTTAACGTCATTGTGACAGACAGCACCTGCTCCAGCAGTGTCCTACGTCGTGCCAAACAGCTCGGCGTGCCGGTGGTGTCGACAGAGTGGATGATACAGAATCTCATTAACGGCCAGATCATGGCGTACGACGGACACCCCAGATATAGATATGACTACACTCACGAGTAGAAACTACGACAAATCAGACAGCAGTGTAAAACATATCACTGGGGAAATTTTCCTCTAGGTATTAATTTTGTAATTTCACTTTCAGCACATTAATTTTAAGCACAATTAGTATCTGAGAAATACTGGTAAGTGCGTATTGCCAGTGGCTGACCGGTGAAAACATTTAGTCGATATTGTAACAGCAAGGTCTTGGCCTATTGATTGTGATCAGCAAAGTTTACACTGTGGTGCTGCATGCAAGATTTATGCATGTTGCCTGTATTTTCCAAACAAAGGTGTCCACTGTTAGAAATGAGTTTTATACATTGAGGAAAATTACACTGGAATTGAAAATAAAACAGAAAAAATCTACACACTCGGTACTAAAAAGGCTTTCAGTTATAGTGCATGTGTCCTATATTGACAATGGTATGTCATGTCTCTCATTCCTTTGAGCAAGGTCCTGCATCATTTTAAAAAGGAACTTTGTGCAGAATTTAAAATGTGCAATATCACTTTCATACTCTGGTGGTTTTTAAGTATTGACAGATTTTATATCTATGTATTATGTAATGCTGTGCTTCTCTGATTCAGTTATCTGTACACATTTCACTGGATTTTAATATTACCAAAATTTTAAATGAAGTAGCAACAACTAGTTTTCACAATTCATGCATTGTTTTACTAGATGTCCAATAAATATGAACAAACTTTTATTTAAATTGAATGCAAAAATATTTTCTCTGTAACTGTTAAACCAAAATCAGTCCAGCAGTCATTTTCGTTCTACATACCGGCTATTATTGTTGATGTTATGTTGCTAGTCGTAAACAGAGTTATTTTCAAGTGAGATTTTTTATCTGATTGATTCATTGGTGTTTTGTAGGATAACTTAGCAAAGGTAATAAAATAGAAAAAGAACATGGCAATTTGGTGGTATATCTTAATAACAACTTCAAAAATTGAGAATCCTAATTTTAGAAAGTGAGAAATACTGCAGACATCTTTTTTTTTGGATAAAATAAAGCAAACAGAACGAAAGGAACCTAATTTTAAGTGACACTAGTGATAACAATTATGATATCATACAATTTTACCAAACTCCAATGTTGAAATGTCAAGGTTTTTTGGATGAAATGAATTTTAAACTTTATCGGTGGTGTTATACAGTACATACATGTATAATGCTTTTATGATATCAACTTTCATCTGTCATCATACTTGAATCAGTGTTAGATGCAGCAAAATATATTTGCAATGAGATTCATGATTTACCTACACAATATTTTCACAGGTTATTATTTGGTATAAAACTTTGCCTTGATGCTAAATGCTCCCATCTGCCTAGCTGTGTAAGTGGATGGTTACACCCAATCAAACACTAGAGGAGAAATTTTGTTGTATGTTAATACTGTAAACATATTAATACTCCTTTTGGAATTCAGAAAACATCATCAAGTGGTTTTCTTTAATACATGATTTCATATGCATTTTTATACGACTGTCAAATTTGACGGTAGTATTATGGTATGGTGTTGTCCGGCCGGCAGAAACTTTGTTTGTCCGGAAATCTCCTCCTACATTTTTCGATCGATCTCTTTGAAACTTGGTATACATTATAATCATGATATGAAGTTGTGTCTCCCATAACAGAATTTTGATTCGACAATTCTATCAAAAGTTATTGCCCTTTGTTCATTTCAGTATTTGATTTTTGTCCGGCAATCTCCTCCTACATTTTTCAACGGATCTCTTTGAAACTTGGTATACTTTATAATCATGATATGAAGTTGTGTCTCCCTTAAAAGAATTTTGATTCGACGATTTTTGCAAAATTAATTGCCTTTTGTTAATTTCAGTATTCGTTTTTGTCCGGAGATTTTCTCCTACATTTTTTATAGCATATCAGGTACCACTCTTAGAATGATGCAGATATTATTTACCCGCGGTACTCTTGTTTTTATTATATATTCCATATATATTAGTAAAGTTAAAATTCCTTGTGTGATATGTAGGTTTTTTTTTTTTAAATATTGTGCATCAGTGCTATTTTGAATGTGTTTGTAAGTGTGTCTCATTTCTTATTGTTAATGTAAAATCTGTAGTATTTTTTGGTACCAAAATGGTTAAATGACATTTCACATCTGTTTTCGTTCCTAACATGGACTTGAAATTTGTGATATATTTTTCCATTCTACATAGAACAAAAAACATGAGGTTTTAACACTTTTGTTTTTAAGCTTCCCTAATTTTAACAAAGGTTTCATCTTTATTTCCCTGAAGAGCAAATATTTAAAAGGAATTTTCCTTTTAAAAATAATTTCATTGTTTTAATCTAATTATGTCCGACAGTAGAAGTTTGATATTTCTGTGACTTCTTTTACTCAGTCTCTTTTGGATGTTTATTTAGAAAATAAAGCAATATTTTAAACGAGAATTTTAAAGATATGAATGCATGTGTGAATATTTTTTGTATATATGACAACACACTACATATACACATCTTTTAACAGAGTATGTAATTTCATAACAAAAATATGAATAATGCAGTTGTCTTAAATCATGAGAAGGTATGTACAGGTGAAAATAATATCAAAATTTGAATTCACCATTGTTTCCATCATATTTTTGGAAGATATATGTACACTTCTGATTGTATATATACTCTCTAAGTGAATTTTAATGCAAGGAGTGCGAAAGTGTATGATTTTCATTAATGAAAAGATGTGCCAAAATTGAATGATATAATAAAAACATTTACAATTGTGTACCTACTTTGATGTTTTCGTTCAATATGGGAAAGCAATGACCTTGACCTACGTTCAAGGTCACAAGTCACAAATATGTCAAAGCAATCAAATAGCTTTTCCTGGAGAACCAAAATGAATTGACAAATGATATAAGTGGCCATGGCTTGCAATTGCTGGCATAGAGTGCTGCAGAATTTTGGACAAGGACAGACCTTGATCTCAAGGTCACGCGGGTCAAATCTTGTTAGGCCTATATGATATATATATCCAAGGCTTAGTGGCAAATAAAGCACTCCAATAATTTCTTTGAAGAATCAGAAGACAGAGTCAAGATATAGGAGTAGTATCACGCTGGCTTGAAGTACTAACCATTTGTAGAAATGAAATGACCTTAATCTATATGGTATTCTATGTGACAGGGGTCAAATCCATAACAATACTCAAACAGCTTCTTCTAAAAAAAAACTCAGCCCTGATTCATATGTACAGCCAATGGCTTGCTGGCATGGAGTATAACAAGGCTTGTGAAATAAATGACCTGGACGTTTATTCTAGGTGATAGAGATCAAATTTGTCAAAACACTCATAAAATGGCTTTTTCTGAAGAGCAAAGAGGCTTAAAGTCATATCGTCAATGGCTTGCTAGCAACGAGTGCTACACTATTTGAGAAAAGAAATTACCTTGACTCAGGTTGAATCTGTTAAAACACTCAGTTTCTTCTGAAGAATTAAAGCCATAGAGTCGGGATATGTAGCCAATACCTTGATGGCATCGAGCTCTCCAAAGTTTGTAAAAAGAATTGACCTGGACCTTTATGCATACAGGTGCATCAAATGACCATTGAATTCCCATTAGGTTCTGTAACTAGACAGTTTTCACAGTTGAGTAACGTTCAAACAAGACCGGTAGTACTGTATACTACCAACCAGAGTTGTATTGATGGGTATAGTTCAGTCAAAATCTGTGAGTCAATCTTCAGAGAATCCTTTTTCCACAGGCAAACAAATAAAACAATTCCAAAATAACGAAAAATATTTATTTCCAATGAGTTTATCACTGCAGATAATACAATAGTCTGGATGAGGTATACAGTTAACTAGTATATTTTTCAGGATGAAATACACATGTTAACTACATAATAATTACAAATAACAACACGAAGACTCTAAACACACGAATTCTCTTACCAAACAAATCATATCCACTTCACAAATTTACTTAACCAGTGAGAAAGATCGACCAAGTAACTGAATTGTCTAATTAAATTTAAATTACACCAAAGTTCTTTCAAACTATGAAAGGATGTCGGTGAAATAAGATTAAATCATTGATTATGTATACATAGAATAATTGATAAGATATTGAACATAATGTAATAAGTATGGTTTATATATACTAGTCATATTTACCTAAGCACCACCGATGTGTTTCATAGCATGATAACCTTAACAAGTCATTTACATAGAATTTAAAAAATGAACTTTTTGAGAAACTTTTGAAATTTTAATATTATTTTTGTGTTTGTTTTCGATGGACAAACATTTTACACTCCCATACATGCAGGTTCGGTTCTGCGCCTGAATTTTTTTTGAACATTATTGTACAGAAGATGAAAGATGTGTATTTGTCAGTAGTTAAGACCAACAGCCTATGAAGAACAGGGCCTAGGAGTCATTGGGGGAAGGCTAGAAAGTAATAGAAGGTGGGACGAATCAAGAAAATCGCCAGAGTCAAAACAGCCAGTTACGAATCAAGAAAATCAGTCACACAAAATTAACAACTTGTGTGTGTTATATGTTATGATGAAGGGACAACAAAGCATTAATAAATATATGTTCATCTCCCTGTTCTTGAAATCATCCTCGTCACAAATTATTAAAAAAAAACAATTGGTAGAATTTATGCTATATTGTCAAGTGAACATTACCACTTTCACTAAATTCTTAAGTTTAGTCAAACATGGTATGGAGAAAAAAACACTTTCACTGTTCCAAACAAATAGGAATCTATAAGAGACTATAAATTAATATTTTTAGGTTTGAGATTTGTGCAAAATTGCTGACAATAAGCATATTGATTAACTTTTCAAATATACCTGTACCTCAAATATCAAAGAAAACCTTCAGAAATATTTCAGTGTTTTCACTTACCATCCAGTACAGAATTTACTTATCTACTGATAAATGTAAATCATTTTGTAGACAGTACTTAGAAAACAAATACACAAATCAATCTTTTTGTACTACTACAGTATACGATTACAAATACACAAATCACACACTACGACACATTTCGATAAGACTGCACAACACTTTTACAATATGAACATATTGCTTAGACCTTTGGTCCACCCAGCTTATAAATAATCACTCAAATTTAATGGGCAAAAAATATTGACTAACACATAAAGAAAGTTCCATGTGGTAATAAGTATAGACAAATTAAGTTGAAATAATAGTGCATACAAATTAACCTAAAATGATTCAAATGATATTTCAGGATAACTGGTAATCTCGACTTTGAAAGCAAAAATCAAATACCAATGAGAGAGTATTTTTTGCATTTTCAACCAGAATTAACATTTTCAACCAATTTCACAGTCTGTGAATTGCAAATAAATAAGTTCTTAATAAGAAAAAAAAAATCAGTTATGAAGATAACCAACTATATAGAACAGGTATGTCTTTATATGTACATCTTTATCGACCAAATTTTCCTATCTCATACTTTTCTCTTCCGATCAACAGAGTGATTTTAATCAGTTGATTATCAAAGATGGAAATGTCTGTGCTCTTTGTAAAAAAAAATAAAAAACATAAAATTTGGCTCCAAAAAAGCTAGAAATTACTTTTGTGAACCCCATGTTAGCCAATGTGCATATATCTGATTTTTTTTCAAAAAATGTGCTAGATGTGCAAGAATAGAACGATAAAAATAAATGTAAACCCTAAACCATTGAACTCATAATTTAATATGGTTCATTTTATATTGTCTTAATGATTTTTGTAAAGATTCAATAAAAGTAGACTTTTAATGTACAAAAAAAACTAAAAATACTATGTGCCGTAATATATACTCTTTGCTATACTCCTCTAGTTTTCAAAGTTGTAAATGTTGCACACAAGATTTTAATAGAAATTGTCATTTGACATTTGTGTGCTTTTTTAAACGCAACATTTGTGGACCAAACAAAAATTCACTACTTACATTATCTTACTGTATTTAGAGGTCAGTATCCGTGGCAAAACTACAGCACACTGCACATCTGATGTTGTAGATTTAGGTGTACTTCAAAGTTTTACAGAGACATTTATAGGTTTAAAAGTTATGGTCCAGACAAGAAATTATACAAAAAGTCTCCTGTTCATTTTCCCTCTATACATTGTCACTACAAGTGTACAGTTTACCAGAATTACTTGCATACTTTTGTCTGGTGAATTTGAATGGAGCAATCATCACCTACTGTAATAAAACAATGCCACTACTGGTCGCCTCGACACCATTTCTGCAGGTCTCAATCAATCATCTGGTTAATCTAATTAGGCTGTCTACCTCAATATCTTCAATGATCTCTGTCCCACTACACTGTTTTTTTTTCTGTATGCAGTAACCTTCCCTTAGCTTTCATTTGGATATAAAGGTAGCACAACTGGACCAGGACACTTCCATCAACCAGATATAGCTCCATTGGTGATAGTGATAGATCAGCAATCCGTGTCTAGCCCCACATTTGTTTTACCCTCAGAACACTGTTGTTGATGACTAGTATATTTTGTTAATTTCATCTTTATTATTTCTCATACAAGTCATGAAAGGTACAGTTTCTTTCCAGAAATGATTTATCAAAGTTACAGTCATGCCGGAAAAAATCAAATTCCATTAAATGTACTAGTTACAGTTTTTGGAAGTGGTACAGGGATCCTTAATTAGAGATGCTATCCCTGTTCTTTTATAAAGTCAAAGCAAGTCTGGACCAGCCACAACTACACTTACAGTCCAGCAAGATACATTAAATATTCCTCATATTGTCCTCATAACGGGATGAACATGTGGGTACGGTACATCAAAATTCAAAACATTTACTTACCTGGTAATAAAAGTTATTTTCTTGGCTGTGCTAACTTCATCTTCACGATTAATTGAATTTAACTTAGCAAACTCAACATGATCACACTAATGACAAAATAATCTCCAAACCGCTAACTCCAAACTAAAATAGTATTTTTGCATACAATGCAAAGTGAACACCAAGATCACGTCTGTTTCTAGACTATTAGACAGTCGAGTTGTACTACTATTTTTTCATATCTGATGCATACTATCAGAAGTACTACATGTTATTAAAATATCAATACTGTATACAATAAACTTGCAAATACATGCATAACAAATATCTTTTTTTGAAATCTAGCTATGTATTCACATTTGAAATACTTATTACATAATATAAAGGTTTTGCAAAAACACAAGGTGTGTCATTTCATTTTATGACTGAAATACTTAATATACGATTTGTATATAAACATGTAGTGTGTAATCTCGCTATATGAATGAAATAAGATTTTATATACATATGATATTCTATGTTAATTGACAAGCACAGGATATGGCAGATATAATACAATACAATGGCAGAAATGTTGAACACAGTACTGTAAACATGGAAATTGACACATGTAGGTACCAGGTACCATGTATTACACTTATGTTTGTAGGTACCAGGTACAATGCATTACACTTATGTTTGTTACCGCATAATCTTGCCCCCCATGCATAAACCAGTACATTCTATCAGTCTCAGACCTATTGAAAACAAGAGAAATGTGACGGACAGTTGGATAGGCGATTCCTATATACCTCCTGGTATAATTATACTGCCTTGCAAAGTGTTATGAATGAAATTGTTAATTTACACCCAGTGAAATTCTCCATGTTTACAGTTTGACAAGATTCATCATACATATAATAACTCAAAGACAGATAATTAATTTTCTCAAAATATTAACATAAGACTTAGATGGACATATATTATGTACTTAAAATTTTAACATATATTACATATATATATATATATATAGTAGTTCTTTCTCACGCTCCCCTGGTCCTAAATTAACTCATTCACCCCTGAAGACATATTTGAACTCTTCCAATTCAAAGGTTGGAGTAGTTCATTATGAAATTTCAGGGGTGAATGATTAATGGCATCAATAAATTATCATATAGCACTCAGTACAATAATACTTAATTAACAAGTTGATTACTACTGCCTAAGGGTACTCGCTTTCTCTTTACGCAGGGCCCTCATTATGTTCCCATCCACGTAAAAATTCTCTATACATATCCTGGTTATTCCTCTGTTTCACCATTATTAATAACTAGAATCATTGTCTGCGTACATAGTCTGTTTTCCTGTTTAACAAATCAATAAGGGTCTACACTGTACCATAATCAACATGTTTTTGTGATTTTGTTTCCCATTTCCATTGGTCATAAATGGTTCTAGTTTTAAGCTGAGCACTGAGATACCTTACACAATAGATACCAGTCTTTTGTATTGGAATCCTGCACTTCTGTAACCAATATATACACTTGGTACATACTATAAAGTATCTATGCATTCTGCACATGAGTAGTTGATGACACAGCTGTTGATGTTGCCTATGTACAGTTTGTAGTGTGAGCTATGAAGATTTTTTTAACTTAGCTAACACTATGTATCTACTGACCTACAACTTAACATAATACTGTATAACTAGAAATCCTTTCCAAGTCAAACTTTTGCCATTTGCCGTTGTCTACTGACCTACAACTTAACATAATACTGTATACCAGCCCTTCACATTGAATTCCTTAATATATCATGCTGTTTACTAACTTTCTCTGTCAAAATAAATTTGCCTCATTACGGGTGGCGAAAAAAGCGAAAATTAAACTGCAGTGAACATTTTCTCCAGTATACAGTATTCCACTAGCACCACTACTCCAAATTGACTTCCTCTGTATCCAAAGTAGCTATATTTTCACTTACATGTACCGATATTTGTCATACATACCTGTATCAATACTGATACATACCTGTGTTTCCCTACATACCTATATGATCCACAAAACATACCTGTGTTTCCCTACATACCTATATGATCCACAAAACATACCTGTGTTTCCCTACATACCTATATGATCAACACATACCTATAACCCCACTACCATGTAACGCTATCACACACTGATAGAAAAAACATGTGGGTAAAACACTTGTCAGTCACTCAAAAACCTTAAACTGTACACTTGCTTAGGTAAATGAAGAATTTAACCATATCCATGAAAAATGTTCAGGGTCCAAATTTTTCAGGCTCTTGTTAATTTCAAATACTATGTAAGGAAACACTAATGTCACTTGTGAATTTCAGACACTATTTGAAAAAACACTTACCGTCACCTGTGAAATGAGGAAACATTTTTTTTTATACACTTGTGTATATCATACACTACTCAAAATCTCTTAACATCACTGTTGAAGTTCACATATTCACACTAACTTGTGAATTTCAAGTATTAGTCTTCGACAAGAGTTCAATTCACTTCCAGAATATCATACTAAGTTTCAGAGAACACTTTAAAGTTTATTATTCCCCCTTCTTTCGTTGCTGAAGATGTAAACATCTTTCCCTAAAACCAGGGTTATCATCCTTACACTATGGGTATCATCCTTACACTAGGGGTATCATCCTTACACTAGGGGTATCATCCTTACACTAGTGGTATCATCCTAACACTAAGGGTATCATCCTTACACTATTGGTATCATCCTAATACTAGGGGTATCATCCTTACACTAGGTGTATCATCCTTACACTAGTGGTATCATCCTAACACTAGGGGTATCATCCTAACACCAGGGTTATCATTCTAACACTATGGTATCATCCTAACACCAGGGTTATCATCCTAACACTAGGGGTATCACCCTAACACCAGGGGTATCTCCCTAACACTTGGGGTAACACTCTGAGGAAGCTTGAATCAGTCTTGTCTGGGTGATCAACACATCTTGTGCAACTGGTTCAGTTCAAAGCTATGTACAATGTATTCACTTCCGACTCATGAATTCATTCCCAGTAATAATGTATCCACATTTGCTTGGCTATCTTGAAGCCAATTAAGACTAGGACAGGAAAAATTGGATACAGTGGAGAAAATTCTGTTCCAGACAGAAGGCTAATCAAAATCAGTTGAAGCCCAGGCAGAATGGTTTCTCGATTCCCAACAAGCATCAGATTTGAACAGCTCCCGCTATTTGAAGATGTTTGTGTTCTCAAACTTCTGTACAGATCGCAGATTTGAACAGCTCCTGCTACTCGTAGATGCTTTGTTCACTTAAGTTTATTATAGACAGTGACACCACAGATTTTCACGGCATTCAAAGAAGCTATGTTAGCAACAGCAATACCTACATACCTTTAGATCTGAACAGCTCCTACTATTCCAAGGTGCTATATTAGCTAAAGCTCATTCTACCAGTCACAGATTTGAACAGTTCCTGCTATTGAAGATGGCAAGATGCTACATTAGTTCGAGCTTTCTCTGCAGGTCAAAAACTCATTACATTGTCCCAACATCAGAATGGCTGTTCAAACCAATACTACTGATCCAAATATACTGGTTTCTCCTCTTGTATATTCCCTCAAAAACCAGAAAGGATGAATAAGCAGGTCTTCATTCAAGTTTCTGTCTTTTTTATCCTAATTTCCAGATTTCGTTAAAATCAAAACGAATGTCTGAACAGGCATCAAATCAGATGTCTGAACACTTCTTGATCCTTTTTTCTTTAGTTTCTTATAAATCATGAAGTTTGATCTTTAGACTTCTTGAAACATGTTTCTGTGTCTTCTCCAAACTCAGAATGGACATTCAAATAGAGAGGAAATCTTTCCAGTCTGTTTGAGCTTTCGGTGACTAATACGGAAGACTCTCTTTACTCTTTCGAAGATATTGACATCGTAACAGGACCTTGCTGTGTTGGTGAAGTCAAAAGGCTCTGTAACATAACGAACAGGATATTTTTAATAACAGGAAAAGCCTTTACAGACATCTTGAAGCTTACAACAGAAAATGTGGCATTTTAAAAATGAAAAAACATTGTACAACTTTTCCCCACACCATCTACGTTTTGGACACACATTGTATTCATGAAACCGTTCTTATACTTAAGCATGAATTAAGCACTTTAGCATACTTTCTTTAAACTCACTTAAATCATGCAACACAGTTATAGGTACTTGGTTTGAAGTTTCTAAAACATTCTTCGATATTATTGACAAAATATGACTTTTTTTAATAAATTAATCACAGAAACGAGATACAGTGTATTGGACCTTAGCATAAACTCGGAGTTTAAGCATGAGAATGGTTTAATGAATATGGCCCCAGAACTTAACATCTATATTTTACCTGAGCAGAATACAAGATGAAAATGTAATATGTCAAATGCATATTTTCTATTTAAGATTTTTAGGATGATAAGAAAATCCTGACATAAAAACAGCCACATAATTTTGCCTTTGTGGTGAAAAAAATTACAGACAACATTTTCAACAAGCGGCCCAATGGGCCTGAATCGCTCACCTGGTATTAATCTCACACTTGTAATCTTAAAAGAGGACTAAAATACAACTACAGGCAGAATATCCTAGGCCTCTTGGTTAAATTCAGAAGAAGTTGTTTAATGGTTTTAAACATATTTGACTCCTTTGACCTTGAATATGGGTAAAGGTCATTCATTTGAACAAACTTGGTAGCCCTTCACCCAAGCATGCTACTGGCCGAATATCAACTCCCTGGGCATTTTGGTTATTCAGAAGAAGTTGTTTAAAGTTTTTAAACATATTTGACCCCTGTAACCTTGAATATGGGTGAAGGTCATTCATTTGAACAAACTTGGTAGCCCTTCAACCAAGCATGCTACTGGCCGAATATCAACTCCCTGGGCATTTTGGTTATTCAGAAGAAGTTGTTTAATGGTTTTAAACATATTTGACTCCTTTGACCTTGAATATGGGTAAAGGTTATTCATTTGAACAAACTTTGTAGCACTTCATCTCAGCATGCTACTGGCGAAATATCATTACCCTGGGCATTTTGATTATTCAGGAGAAGTTGTTTGAAGTTTTTAAACATATTTGACCCCTTTGACCTTGAATATGGGTAAAGGTCATTCATTTGAACAAACTTTGTAGCACTTCATCTCAGCATGCTACTGGCGAAATATCATTACCCTGGGCATTTTGATTATTCAGGAGAAGTTGTTTAAAGTTTTAAACATATTTGACCCCTGTAACCTTGAATATGGGTGAAGGTCATTCATTTGAAGAAACTTTGTAGCCCTTCATCCAAGTTTGCTTCTGGCCAAATATCGACACCCTAGGCCTTTCGGTTATTAAGAAGAAGTCATTATAAAGTAAAATATTGACGCCGGACGGACGCCGGACGCCGCGCCACGGCATAAGCTCACTTGGCACTTCGTGCCAGGTGAGCTAAAAATCCAAATCAAAAGGCCTCAGTGTTGCAATATTGATAATTATTTTTCCTGTGTTTACATTCACTGTAATTCATGTTTTATGTCAAAAAAACTATATTTATTTCAAAAGATCACACATTTCAAATGTCAATGGCAGTAAAACACATTTGAAAGGAAAAGGACGAATTTATAACGGTATTGACCAACCCTTTGAAATAAAACGGGAGCACATCACGTCGCGCAACTTGGCCATTCCCGTGTCGTCGATTGGCACCTAATATAAGCGACCGTCGAGGACATTCTGAACTGTTTGCTGTTCTTAAAACTGCATAACTGCGATGCTATATAACTTTTCTCAATCACTTGAAATTTTAAAACATCTAACTACGAAAGAACGCAGATACGATATCTCGTTTGAAGTGATCTAAAAGGCCGAAAATCGGCACATCGACATGGTATTTCAAGGCGATATTTATACTTTCTAATCAAGCATATCGAACATATTTATGCTGGTTAGGGTACGGGAAATGTAAATGAAGACCATGTACACTTATTTCAATATACTTCACCCATAAATTTGTTGGATGCGGTGTTTGAACAAGGTGATCAGATAGGCTTACGGCGCCGACAAATGTACGTGTGCGAGACCACCTATGTGTGACTCGCTCATCAGACTGTTTTCTCAACATCTATGGGTCATCCAATTAACTTGACCCCAATGTCAATTAATGTACACAAATTATAACACCTGTTGCCATCTGGAGCTTGATAATTGACTTTACATCTTATACAAATAATTAATTAGCTCGCAGTCGTGCATAGAGCGCGCGCTGTGACGGCCCTGATTATGTTTACAATTGACCCCTGTGACCTTGAATATTAGTGAAGGTCATTCATTTGAACAACTTAGTAGCCCTTCATCCCAGTTTGATTCTGGCCAAATATCATCACCCTAGGCCATTTGGTTTTTAAGAAGAAGTTGTTTAAGGTAAAATATTGACGCCGGACGCCGCACGGAATAAGTTAACTTGGCTCTTTGGGCCATGTGAACTAAAAATACATCATTACTTACAAACCAAAGACAGCTTAATATAAGAAACACAGCAAGACTCTACCTTCAATTTTCAGATGTTTCCAGCTGTTTTCTTCCCCAGATTGGGTAACAGCCATACGCTTTGACATACATGTACCAAGTCTTACACTTATAACATCGTTGTCAAAACTGAAAATAGAAAAAATGCACAAGATAAAAATAGAACATCTCTGAATCTCAAAGTACTTTCTTTCAAAAAGAATATATTCAGGAACCAAATGCTGTTATGACATCATAAATGTGTAGTTTAAGTCACATTATATATCTTCTATTCTATTTTTAGTTTCAGTGACCTTGAGTGGTAGCCATCTTGAATTTTGTGATCCTGATTAAATGAGGCTATTCATTCAAGATATTCATCAAATACTACTTATCACCAAAACCAACAATATTGGTCCAGAAAGGGCAGTACAATGTGCTTTTGACACTATAATCCCTCAACATTCTTTTTTTCAAAACACTGACCTTGACCCAAGGAACTTTTAACTAAAACAAGGCATCACAAGTGATGCACATCCCCTCACATTCACACATTTTGACATATGTAAGAGGAAATGAAGTCTCTAGAGCGATGACAAAGTTTTATTCTAACAAGAGGCCAAGATGGCCTGTATCGCTCACCTGAATATTTAAGCAGTCATAGCAAAATATTCTCATTAAATATTATATTGCACTACAGATATTTCCCTCACAAACTTTGTTGGCTCCATCTGTTGAAACTACCAGCCAAATATTATTATAAGATTCTATGCTTTTTAGTTTTTCTTCAGAAGTTGTTTGACATATTTTTTCCTGTGACCTTGTTAGAAGGTCAATGTCATATTCCTTCTCAAACTTTGTTAGCTCTAACCCAAAACGCTACCAGCCAAATTTTATGAATCCATTCCTTGTTGTTGACCTCTGTGACCTTTAAAGTCGTTTGAAGCGTTTTGACTTATTTGACTGCTGTGACCTTGAAAGTAGGTCAAAGTAATTTTCATTCTCAAACTTTGTCATCTCTATCCCAGGAAGCCACCAGCCAAATTTGAAGATTCTATACCTTGAAGTTCTTCAGAAGAAGTCGATTGAAGTGTTTGACACATTTGAACCCTGTGACCTTGAAAGTAGCTCATGGTCATTTTCGTTCTCAAACTTTGTTGGGCTCCTACCAAAGAAGCTTTCAGTCAAATATCATGGCTCTATACCTGTTTATTCTTCAGAAGAAGTCATTTAAAGAGTTTGACATATTTGACCGCTGTGACCTTGATGGTAGGTCAAGGTCATTTTCATTCTCAAACTTTGTTGGCTCTATCCCAGGAAGCCACCAGCCAAATTTGACCAACGAAGCTTTCAGTCAAATATCATGGCTCTATGTCTGTACGTTCTTCAGGAGAAGTCGTTTAAAGGAAAAGTTGACGGACGCCGCCGCACCATGACATAAAATAGTAACAGTGACCTTGACCTTCAACGTAGAAACCTGAAATGCGAATTTGTTCAAGGTATTGTCATACTAAACACTTGGATGAAGTTTCATGATATTCTGTTGAGGAATGAAGTCGCTGGAGCAATGACAAAGAGTGTAACATACGTACATATGTATATACAGAATCCTATACCCCCTCAAACTTTCGTTGCGAGGGGAAAACAATTCCAGGTCAGCAAGGGCCCACCATGTGCCTAACTGTATCCATTATGGTATATTTTTTAGTAACAGTGACCTTGACCTTAAAAACTTTTTAAACCCTATTGCACATCTACATTTCACAGTGCATCAATCAACATGTCAAATTTCAGAAAGATCAGTCTTTTGGATTCTGAGATAATCTCAAGAAATGAAAGCATGGACGGACGTATGTACAGACAGACTGATGGACACTGATTACTATAGGGCACCCGTGACAGAGATGCGGGGCTCAATAACCCATGGCACATCTACATTCTACAGTGTATCACTTTTTTTTATATTTCAGAAATCTAAGAATTCTGGATTCTGAGATAATCTCCATGAACATAAGTGGACAGAGGTATGGACACTTTGGTTACAACAGGGCACCCACATTTCTTATACCAAGCCCTTATAAATCTATGCATATTTCTTGATCAGCTTATTACATTCCCTATAAGCTAATAATGGTACAAACTTGAACGTGTAGGTGAAGTACTCCAGAAATCCCTCAAACAGGTCACCGAGCGGCTGGCGGTTCTGCACCTTGAAGTCCATCTGATGGTTCATTTTCAGGTTCTGAATGTCTAAGCTTTTAGCAAACAAGTCCTATTTAAAGGAAACATTATCAGTTAATACATATTTCACTAAGGTATATCCAAGTTTTTAATTAAGGATCCCTGTCCCACTGAACTGTGGTTTTTCCTATTTATGGTTACCTCTGATTAACTTCTGCTTGGATATAACTGTAGCACAGTTGGACAGGACACTTTCGTTGACCAGGGTAAAAATCCCTGTCTACTCCTGCTGAAGGTTTACATTCAGAACATTATTGTTCATTATATTGTTTATTTGGATATTTATCATTTTTCGGAAAAGTCATGCAAGACATTGTTTTCTTTCAAGAAATGATTGATAAAATATATAGTTATATAGGAAAAAGAAGTTTCTAACACTAAGCTTCAGTTTGAAGCAGAGGTACGGGTATCCTTAACCAAATCTTTGTACACTGTTCCTCAATTCATTTAATGTTTAAACTAATGTTGTATTTAAATCCTGGAAGGACTCCAGACAATAACACATGTGTGTACAATAATCATTATATACTGACCTTCAATAAAGATATTATAAAAATCAATATGAATTGTCTTGTAACATTGACTGCTTAGATAGTAATTTTCCCAATTACTTAAATTGTTGACTCATGAGGCTCTATCATGGACAAGACATTCAAACATTTTATGGATTTTGTTTAAGTAGTAACCTCAGACCTGTTCTTAGCACATCGATACTTGTCAATGAAGGTCTGAATAAATACTTACTGGATGTAGCTTCTGCAGTGACGGGAGAACTGCTGGTTGGCATCCACCTGTAAACCAAATCAATTCCAATTTTGAAACATTGAAAGTAAAATCCCACAAGATCACTGATTGGATGATAAGGAAATATTCGAATCACTTGTTTTAAATGCAAGGTATCATATATCCTTAAATTGGTTAAACCAGAGACCAAGGCCATTTTCGTTTAAACGGCAAAACCGGTCGGACCAGTTGTTCGTTTATTAAATAAGGTCGGACATAGTAATCTGATGCTGCTTTCAGGCGAGCCTTGACAAAGCCTTGCAAGGCCTGCATAAACATTTGCAGGTCCGCCAGGATTTATACCCGAAATTGTTACATTGGTACATTTATAAACGGTCAAACCGGTTGTTCAGCATAAACAAACAGGCCCCAAGTGAACTACAATATATAGGAAGGGACATAACTCTACCACAAATCACAGGTATGGACCTACTTTTTTTTTTTAATTTGATGTTGCAAGAGAACCTGCAAACAATGAATACATTTATTTTTGTGATTTACGTCCTTTTATCAGCTATGGTTACGAATGTGCCATGTTTTGGTGGTGGAGGAAAGCTGAAGAACTCAGAGAAAAATCAAAAAACTGCAAACAGTATCTGATGACTGCTCCACATCGGCCACAAACCCATGACCCATTGGTGGAGGACTAGTGACCGTAGACAGTCAGACACCGTAACCACTTTGCCTTTATGGCCCCTTCCTTAACTTTGATATTTTTTGGAATCCAATGAACCATACAAACATACTAAGGGTGATAAATCTAACATATATCACAGGTATAATGGATGTTATATGTAAGGTATATATATCGGTAAGTTTCTGAGACCCAGTGAACCATACATACATACTAAGGGTGATAACTTTGACATATATCACAGGTATTATGGATGCTATATGTAAGGTATCTATATCGGTAAGTTTCTGAGACCCAGTGAACCATACATACACTGAAGGTAGTGGACTATCATCAGACTGAGGGAATAGCTGGAAATAGTGGCTTTGGACGCATCGTTGATGTCATGAAAACGGGCCCACTTCTTGGCAAATAACACCATAGGTCGTACCCGCCAGTCAACTGAATAAAAATCGTTGTTAGCTACAATCATGTCCTTAAGCTAATAGGATTGTGTCGCCATTTCTCAGTAGAATTTATTCAAATTTTTTAGATATATTGCTTTGAAGTAAAGAAAATTTTCTGCCACAAAAAAAAAAAAGGTTGTCAGAATTTTAAGGATTTTAAAAGGAAATTTATGTAAAAAGGAGTGAATTTTGAAAAATAAATTTGCAAAATAATGTCAATAAAAATGATACTAACATAGATTAATATTGCATTAATGTATATCAATTTCATAAATGCTGAAATTGTGTACAATTAATTATCTATAAACAATCAAAAATTGACATTTTATAATAAAAAACATATACACATAGTAATTGCATGCAAGAGTTATCGTTCTTGAAAAACTTCACAGTAGTGAAATAGGTAGCCGGTTTCTGAAGTACAGAAAAATGGACACATGTGACTCATTGATTAAAAAACAACTGAATTAATACCTGGATTGCTTTGTAATACTTTAATATTGAAAGAACACACTTTTCTGTCAATAATAAGCATACCATATTCATCACTTTAATATTAAACATTAGATTATGCAGAAACTGGGATACTGTCTCCCTACATTGGATTTTCAACTAGGGATATACTTCCTATTTCCGTTTAGCAATACACTCCTATGACCTTAAACAATATCTTTGCTTATTCTATGATTATATCTTTGATGTAAACAGTGTGTGCAGATTTTTAGGATGATATCAAAATATACACAAAAGTGAGCCATTAATATTTTCAACATATTAAAGTATCTAGTATCATTTGATATTACAGACATTCAAAGTTTATACACAGATTACATTTATCACAAAAATCCCCAAAGTAGCAATGCTGTTTAAAACAATATTATAAGAACCCTGTATACTACTACGGTATACAGATTTTTTTTCCTGCAGTTTAATTTTAGCATTTTTGGGGGCTAAAGTGAATTTATCATTACAATGAATAGTATAATAAACATAGTATAATAAACATAGTATATTGCATGCAAAATTAACACTGGGCGAAAGTTGATTTCATGGGCGAAGGACGGAAGTTTGACTGGGTATTTCTTAGTAAACAGTATTACTAGCCCTATATAATTTAACTACTGGGCTAGGTGTTTTTTGTTTGTTTTGATATTTTACCTTGTGAGTAGTAGCGCAGCAGGTGGGTATTCCTGATACCAACAATGTTGTTTATATTTACATCACACTCCACATCACTGTAAAATAATCAAATAAGCTGAACATTTAAATGACTTCAAACACATGATTTTTGGGTATATATGCACTCTTCATATATATATATATACATGTACAATGTATAACATATATTCATATATATCAACAATTTCTATATGTAACACATGTATAAAGACTATATATAAAAGCAAAAATATATCATTTATGTATGTAAAGTCAATGTCTGTGTAAAGAAACACTGCTAACACCCGACAGACTTAACCTATTACAAAATGTTAACATACAAAATGTTTCACCATTTTACAACAAACTTATTTCTTTTTGGCCTTACACCAATTTAAAGTTAAGTACAAGTTTCAAGTTTTCAATTAAGCTTAATTTTCATTTTCAATTTAGTGTGTGAATTGTCAGTGGGATGACCAACTTAAAGAATATTTTTTAATAGAATCTAAATTTATGAAATGAAGCAATTGTGGTTCAGGTAGATAATTTACCAGGTTTACCAGCCCTGGGTATATGTGAACACAAACACCCCCCACACATTTGAAAGGGAACGACACTCTCACCTGATTTTATCGGTAAATCTGAGGATTGGCACTTTGGCTCTGATAACCACTATGTCCCTCAGGAAGGCTGTAAACAAAGGGGGAAATGTACCATAGAACCTATCTATACTGAAATCATCTGTAATCTGGAAACCTGTGTAAACCAGGCATATAGTCGGAACCGACTTAATTATCACCAATGGAAAATGAACCTGTGCATCTAATTCAATAGACTCTATATTAATAGGGACATTTTCTTTATTGGTGTTTACTGTAAAATATTTCAGGATCATTCTTTTGAACTTTTTTTTATTTTAAGATTAAACTAAAATACTAAAAAACACTATGACTTTAATACCGAATTTACATAACAAGAGGAATGAATGATTGATGTTGGTTGTATAATATCAGAACATCTACCATTTCTGGTCAATTTGTTTTAACATTTTCAAATGAAATCAAAATTTAATGATTGGGACAGCGTCTGTCACCAAGTCTGATACTATAAAGACATTGTGTCCATCAAAGGGTTTATCATCACAATGTGAAGGGAGACAACTTACTACAGGTGGAGAGGGCCTTTTTAATGTGGTACAGAATCTCCGGTGCTTCCTTTGTTTGGTCAATCTGTATAAATAAAGGATTTCCATTAGTAACCCCAATATACCATCTCAACACAATCTATCTCTAAAAACACATATATAATATATTGTTAAACAATTGTAAATATTTGTTAAAAATGAGATTTTTTACGTATTGCGTCGGGCATTGATGTTACCCCTAGTTGAGACTATCATACAGGTATCGGATTTGAGTAACTTCCTTTCGTTTATTCAACTTACCTACGTCGTTACGTAACACTGTTTTGGATTGGCTATCAGATTTCTATTGTAATTTGGGGTATAAAAGTCGTGGATTTAGGATGTTTCAGCAGTCTATGATAGCACTGACCTGCTGGTCGGCTCACTTCTCTCTCTACCTCTTTATATTTCCTGTCTGTTGGGTTAGGGGGCTAGGTCTTTGGCAAAGTACAGGTATTATAGATTTATGTAGGGTTAGGATACAGCAACTCAACCAGCGGTAGAGCCTATGTTTTGCGTTATCAAGTGTTGTCATATGTCTGGAGTTATGTTGAATATTTAAGCAGCATCTGCGGGTGCAATACAAGTATCTACCCTGTACTGTATATCGTTTGTTGAGTAGTTTATTTCATTTATCCAAACTTGACAGAACCTCGGGCGTACTAACTCAATTCAAACCTGGGTTGACCTTTGACACATAACATTTAGAGTACAGTCTTATTACAAAATGGTGTTGTTTATACAATTGATATATATACTAATAAAAGTACCTTTGCAAATATATCCATATATTGAGTCTCCTTGGTTTAAAAATGTTCCAAAATAAATTAAAACTTTATACTACTCTTTTCCAGCTTGCTACTGGTCAAATATCATCACTCAGGGCCTTCTGGTATTGCAGAAGAAGTTATATAAAGATATTTACATATTTGACCCATATAACCATGAAAGTAGGTCAAGGTAATTTATTTGTGGAAACTTTATAGCACTCTGTTCCAGGTACCTACTGGCCAAGTATCATTACTCTGGGCCTCCTAGTTATTCTGAAGAAGTTGTTTAAAAGTTTTTGTATATTTGACCCCTGTGACCTCGAAAGTAGGTCAAGGTAATTTATTTGAGGAACTTTAATATCACTCTGTCCCAGGTACTAGCTACAAATATCATTGCTCTAGGCCTCTTGCTTATTCAGAAGTCGTTCAAAGAAAAAGTTGACGGATGACACACAACACACCATACCATAAGCTCTACTGGCACGAAGGTGAGCTAAAAATATTTAATATTTACTGATTAAATCATCTATAAGCAAGATTCTGTCGTGTTGTCCACAATACGTTGGAATTCTTTGATGAGCTATTTGCTTGGACTATGTATACTGCATGTATGCACAGCTGTAATAATCTGAATTGCACAGGATTTTCAACTTGAAAGGGACTGAAATGTGCCTACAACCCTCTTGAGTGATATCTCTCAAAAAGTGATCCAATACTGTTGTTTTAAAACAATGTGCAAACACATGCTCACAACCAGGAAACATAACACTTAAGCTTGGACTTCATAGACAACCATTACTTTTAATGAAACTTGTTAATCATAAGAAGAAACACAGCTTGCAAAGCAATAAGATCAAGCTGCCAAAATGTACTTTACCGTGGTAGTTCATTTTCGACAGAAAAATGTTTTTGAATTCTTGTTTGTTTCTTGCTATATGTTAAGATCAAGGAAAGTGGCTCTGGTTGAAAAGTCTGTAGTATAATTGTTTCAAGTCAGGAGGGTACTTTAATTTAAAATATATATATGATTTAGGAAAAAAAGAAAGCAAACAATCAAATTTTACTTACATGTTGGTCACTAATACTGAGACAGAGATCCATATCACTAGACATGGTACCAAACCCGCTCATGGAGGACCCCACAATGTACAGACTGCAATCTGTCAAATCAAATCAATTAGAAAGTAGAAATATGTCTGTATTACATGAATACCCTGTTCCCACACTGAAGAACTAAATAAATGTGTTTTTTTTTCATTTTCAGTAAATTAAAATACTCAAAGTCTTCACATTTACAAGGACGTTTCTTTTTATCAATTTTATTTTTTTAATGGATGAAACACTTTTAAATTATAATTAATGTGAATCAGAAAAGTCTTCCTAAGAAATCAAATCAGAACCTAAACTTTGACTTGCAAAAACACTTCTTCTTCAGAAATCCATAGTACGAATATATCGTTTCTTACCAAATCCATAGTAAAAATATACTGTTTCTTACCAAATACATAGAACAAATATATCGTTTCTTACCAAATATAATTTGAGGATAGATATCAATAAGTTTGGACTTACAAGGGAAAGCAGGAGTTATAATTGCTAGTAGTGCGTCCCTCAACTCCTTTTTCTTCTGTAACGCTGATTCTGTCTGGTGATTCTTGATGAAGTAATCTAGCATGTCTTGACTGGCCTGTTATAATGATAATTCAGGGTTCTTATATACCGCTTTATCACAACCTAGGTCGTAGGTCATCTCAAAACAGTTTCCAAATTATTAATTGTGGTTAGAGGGCCTTTGCAACCAGCCAATATCTTTCTCAATTCCCTGGGGAGCATACAGCCGGTGCTGCCATTTCAGTGCCCACAGCTAGCATTCAACAATTCTAGCACTGCCCTGAACCACATACTCATTTACAGTGGAGTAGACAGGAACAACCGTAGTTAAGTATCTTGTTCAAAGATGAAAAGTAAAAAATAAGTTTCTGACAATGAAGTTTTCTAGAACACATATGTAGAGCCAGTGTACCAGGCCTTTATTAACACATGTATATAAATGTTAGGAGTGTTTTAGTACGAGATATATACCTTTGTAGTGCCAGCGTAAGCAGGGTTCTGGTAATGGGCGATATCGTTGTCCACACCCTGTCCCCACTGCAGGCCTCGAACACGCTTTGCATCATCATCGTGGGGCGACTCTGCACGTCTCCTGCAGATGGAAAATTGTATTGATTTAATAATTAACAGATCAAGCTCCGATATCTGGAATATTTAATTCTGACTCAAACCGACTTTCTGTACACTGTTATTATAAGGTAGATTTGAAAAAAAAGGGTTTTTAAACTTAAGTGTGGTTGCTGATCCTGAAGCTACACAATGATGGCAGTTTGTTTTACCAAGAAAAGTAAAAATGGAATACTCTAATCTCTGATATGCACTTATACAAGACTGACTTTGAATTTGTATAGATCTAAATCAATTTTTATTTTCTGAATTTCAAAATAATATATTTGTCAATGCAAATGTAATTACCTTTCTCTCTCTCTCTTCATAATCAAAGATATAAACAGATCAGCTCAGGCTATAAATAGCTAATAATCAGAGATGATGACTTAAGAAGAACATACAGCAGAAAGAACTAACATTCAATATGTTCTTATTCATTTTAAATACATGGGTAAAATCAACTCACTTTCCTTTACCACTACTCCGACTCTGATATGAATCTGAGTTTCTTGAATATGGTCTCGAATCTCTGCTATATGACCTTTCAAAATCCTTTGATGCCATGTCTGTAATATCTTCTTCGTCTTTGTCTTTAGATCGAATAACTTTTTCAAACTCACAAGGGGAAATGCTTCTTTTAAGAGAAGTTGTTGAACAGCCTGGTTCAGGATCACTTGGAGGGGGACTTTCTTTAGAAGGTGAATTATTCTTTTCTGCGTCAGAAGGTGAAATGCTTCTTTCACGGGAATGAGGTGAAACACTTCCGTCCAAGTTTGCGGGCGAGACTCTTCCTTCAATTGCTCTGATGTCACTACCTTGATATTTTTCGGTTTGAAGACGAACCAAATTCACGTTTTCTTTTTGGCTATTGTTCTGAACAGCATTCAACCTTTGTGAATTGTAATATCGTTGAGCTAACAGCTGATTTCGTTTTGCGTCAATTTGTTTGAGAATTTCAGCGTTAAACTGATTAGCGAATCTGACTTGCTGGGGAAGATTGGGAGTCCTACTTGTAAGGTTTGCGACGGCGATTTGCGAGTTGTTCACAAGATTGATATTTTTTACCAGTGTACTATTAGACACAAGTGTGTTGTTAGCGACTATAGTCTTATTAGCAACAAATGTATTATTCCTCACGACCGTATCATGTGTATCGTTTCTGATGATTGTGTTATTTGAAACAATGGTATTGTTAGTTACAAGTGTTTTACTGCCTGGACTCTGCTGGATGTTCGCCTTCTGAATGATCAGTCTCCGAATCTGTTCATTCTCTGCAGCGTTTTGTTGTAAGGGGGCACCAGCAGCAACGTTGTTGTTCAGGAGATTCACACAGATCGGAGTAGGTTTCGGTGCCGTAGAAAACTGTTGGGTTTGACTCCTGACAGCAGAATAATGCTGGGTTTGACCACCACCTCCAATGACTGTGGAACTGTACTGCTGAGACTGGGTCCGGGTCTGACTCCTCACTGCAACTGTTGGTACTATAGGGGCTGGCTTCACTGTGTATGGTAACGAACCATAACCTGCAGGTACTGATGGCATGCGCAATGGCTGTCCAGAAACAGCTTGAGGAGGGACTTGTGACCTGTAAGTAAGTAAGTTTTACCTATACAGACACAAGCTTAAAATTACTCAGACGGCCCTGTATTTCTCACCTGGATATTTTTAAGCAAATAAGGCACAATGTTTCTCATTAGGAGTAGCATTTTAAATAATTCCCTATTTCAAACTCTATCTCCCTGGTCCCAATAGGATACTTCACAGTTGAGATCTGTAAGCGTGTGATTATGGTTACGGGGTTAGGAAATTAATGACCTAATAAAGTGTAAGTCCCCAGGGATGGGGCCAAATCCCTGAGCTAATCCTGGATGAATCAGTGTTCACACCAAATTTTCGATTTGAGGGTACATTTGATGTATTTTCAATGTCCTGTACCCCTTGGTTCTTCAAAACTGGGGGGTAAAACAAACTGCTTTGGGGTGAAAAGCCCTCATTTGGGGGTTTCTGTGAACACTGAGAATGCTTGTATTCTTTTCTTTTTATACCCAACAAGCATGTTAGATTGTTCAGTATATGATTAGCATTTCAACTCTTCCCAGCTTATGACCCAATGACAAAGAAAAATGTTTGCACATAATGTATACAAGTGTTATGGTTCTATGCATTATGAATTTATGATCTACAGATTAAAGCTTTTAACATGACTGACTCCTATGACTTTGTATGTTATGATCATGAATGGTTAAGAATTTGATCTATGTAATTTCTGTGACTGTAGTAGACTCTACCATGCATTGATCTGGACGAGTCCATTATGGTGTATAGTGGTGAACATCGTATATCTGCAAAACTATGTAAAGATAACTGAAATTACTCTTAATGAAACATTAAAAACAGAATTTTCCTAATCCAGACAACATTTTAGCACATGACCAGTATCTACTAATGAATATGTACCTGTATGTGGCTTGTTGAGTCTGTTGTCCAAAACGATACATAGCATTTAGCATGACAGGCCGTTGTTGTTGCTGCTGTCCAGGCACAATGCCATAAGGTGAGGCCACCGATCCATTTGATAAAATGACATTACCACGATACATACTTTGATTCCACAAACAGCAGTAGTGTTCAGCTTTAGACAGACATCTTTAAAGTGAACTTTTTATCTTCCTTTTTGTGATCTGCAATAAAAGTTACATATATTATATAAAATATGTAATGTTATACATATGCAACAGTACCTACTACATTATAGATTTATTAATGAGTCTTCTGACTTCTATTTACTTTTTTATTTATTCTGCTACAGTAAGCACTGTTGTTGGCTCGTATGTTAGCACGTGAGAGGGGAGGGGGGGGGGGCTTATCAAAGGCTTATGGCTAGCCCTTTCCATTGGTTTCAGATGTAATAAAAAGGACAAAGCAAAGGATACTCAAAACTGCTATTTTGATTTTCGCTTGTCTACATGTTTTGCCCCACTAGGAAGGAGATCTTCAGTAAAACAAACAATTACACCATTGCTGTGGATCAAATAATTTCTTAACATCAGATATTTATTAATCTGTCTTGTTTGTATTTTAGGCCCCATCTCTTTTTACAGAGAAAGTGAATGCTGACAAATCAAAAAAATCAATTCCAACTTGTGATCAGTCTGTTGAAGAAGGATAATTTCTTAATCATTTCAATAACATTCCACATCAATCCAATGCGACTTCAGAAAGGAAAATCGGTCATAGGTTTTCCTTTTGTTTGTAACGTTAAACCTACTGGGAGAACTGCTCCAGATGTAAATGAATGGAGATAAAAACATCAAATGCAATACCAGATTCCACAAATATTAGAAGTAACATCTGAGTTTTAATTAAAGTGCATAAACACGAAACATACATCACCGTAAATATGCGAATTAGACGGTTGTTTATGATATTTGTGCGTGATTCCTTATCATCGTCTTCCAAGCGAGCACTTGTCGTCGAAACTTCCGGTGTCGGCAGCAAGATCTATATTTGACAGTATTTATATTCAGTATATCAATAAAATACAGAATATGTTTTTTTAACAAAATTAAAATTAGTTTGGATGCATGCATGATGATTTTCTTTGTACATTTATAACATTACTATTTAATAATGAAAATTGAAAGTGCGGAACAGCAATATGGCAGCCTCCATGATGCAAACCATGCATTTTATGTGCAATATTTGCACTCTCTGATGAGAGCTTGCGTACAGACAAAATAACTGATTGGATTGTATCGTTAGCAGTAGACATTGGTAAGGATTAAATAGGTTTACATAATAACGTAGAAATAGGAAAACTATTGTAAAGCATTTCAAAATAACCAAAGTATATCCGAAACCAATCTCAAACAGCACTGCTGGAGGGCGCGTCTAATTACCCAATACTACCCAATACCACCCAATACTACCCAATACCACCCAATACTACCCAATACTACCCCATACGATCCAGTTATGAACCAAATACTTCTTTATTACTGTGAAATATCACCTTTGTAGACGTTATTTACTTCCATCTGCCATATTTTATCGGGAAATATGCGATTTGGTGCCGAAAACATCACCGAATTGCCGTGACTATGACCC